TCGTTGCATTTTTTATAGCCGCAGCGCGGCGAGTGGATTAAAAAAAAAAAAACTATAATCCCATTCATTACCTAAAAAGTGTCGTAAAGTCGACAACGGGTGGCACAACAAGGAGGTGGCAGCTACCCGCAGGACTCTTGTTTTCACACGCTAATCCCGATGCATGCATAATCGGATTAGGTGAAACGAACTGTTTATGGGTCAAGTGACAGTCGGTAGCCGGGTCCGGCATGTGCTCTGTACACCATGTTGCATGCTACATGCGGCACGTTGCATATCATTTGCGCCTTGTTAGCTAATCCTCTGCTCTGTTTGTTTTCCTCTTGATTTTTTTCGCTCGTTCTCTTTGCTCGGCCAGCTCGCAATTAGCATCATAATGAACCGACAGCTGATGGCTTTTTAGTTTTTGGGAAATTCACATGACCAGAGTTGCGGCCAGGGTTGTCAGCTCCGTCAAATTGCCAGCTGACCCAAATTCGTAGCCAAATATTTGGCTTTAATCGCTTTAATGAATTTCAAGTTCGCTGAACGTGTGTAATTAACGAAACTATTTCGTTGATAACAAGAAGGTGTGAGGGAGGGAGGGGGAGGGGGAGAGGGAGGGAAAAACCCCCGCCCCTCAATGTGTATACTCTGCTGGGAGTATATTAGGTGTTGCTCTATGTTTTCTCTGTCTATGACGCAGGTAGAATCTGTGCCACAAAAAAACTATGCGAGATAAACAAAATGAAGCTTAGCTCAGCTAATCCTAAGTTTAAATACCCAGCTCCCAAAAAGGAAATGATTTCCTATAAAATGACAAATGACTAAGATTTGTTTCAAAGCTGATTACAGTATCCGAAAATTATATCTAATCGGGCGGATGTTAAAATTGAATAAGCCAAAAGAAAACTGTATAAAAATGTCTCCTTGAGTAGAGTGACTTCTTGTCGTTGGCTTTCGCTTCAGAGTTCTTCCAATATCCGAAAATTCTCATCGAGCTTATCGGCTTAAATTTCTCTTAAAGTAGAGTAACTTGTTGTCATTGTCTTTCGCTTAAGAGTCCTTCCAATATAAAAAAATGCTTAAGCGAATCGGGCGGATGCTTAAATCACATAAGCAAAAAGATTTCCATCTGAATATTCTTTAAAAAATGTCTCGCTTCAGAGTTCTTCCAATATCTGGAAATTATCAGGGTTAATCGGGCTGATGTTTAAATCACACAAGCGTATATTCCACAATCTGAATACCCTATAAAGAATGTCTCTTATGTGAAGATTCTCAAATTAAAATATAAAGCAGAGCAACTACTCGTCATTAGCTTCACAGTTTTTCCGTCTGCGTCTGCTCTCAAGTTATTTCACAGTTTTCATCGCTTTTCGCTTGGCTTTCAACTTAAAGCACGCAGCTGATAAAAGTCGTAAACTCATTAAATTGGCCATTTCCAGAGCTTGTATCGTCGCATTTTTCAATAAGCCTGCGTCCTGAGGGAAAGCTGCCCCAAAAAGGAAAACAAGGCAAAAGGCAACTCCTTCGGCTGCGACGTGCTGCACATTTTGATACACTTCCAAATGGGTATTTATATATATTAAGCAGGAAATGTGACGTGTTATTGGGAGATATAGCTCAGATGCACTTTGAAGAGCAAGTATCTATATTTTTGATCAGCTGAGTAGACTATTGTCGACTATTGAGGCTCACTTAGCTTTAAGACTAGCTGCAAGAATTTGTGACATTTATCAGACTATTTGTCGGAGGTAATACTTAAGTCCGTTTCAACTGCATCGGTGGTCAATTTAGTTTTTGCTGAATAAACTTATGGTTATCAATATGTCTATGCTTGGCTTAGATGTTCGAGCGTTGGTCCAGCAAGCGGCAGGATGCTGGCTCAACTCCAGCATCAAATTAAAATGTTTTAGATATCAAGATATCTATGCTTGGCTAAGAAGTTTGGCTGATTCAACTCCAGCATCAAATTAAAATGTTGTTGTTTACATCAAATTTTGTAATTCACAAAGGAATATCTTTAGATATCATTATAATCCTTATATATATGTCTATGATTCGAATTGATGGAAAGATAGTTACCCTAGCTAAAATAAGTTGAAGAAGTAATTCCCTAAAACACACTTATTTAATGTAATTCTTAAGGGGACTCTCACTCAGCTAACAATATGTCTGTAAGAGTATTTAATACATCGGCAACTAAACAAAAAACTGTTCTTTCTTGTTATATTTCATTATGTAAAGGGGTTTTCTTCTATCGGATCGTCAGGGGCTTCGGTTCGTGCGCAATGTGCGAAAATCACAACATTTTAATCTTATAATCTGAATTTATGAGCAGACTCAATTTCGTTATGCTTAACGACATTTTATGCGGTTATTTTATGCAGGCAGCTAAAGCTGGACGAGATGAAGCATAAGGCGCTCTCTCTCACACACACACTGACACACACACACACACACACATATAGTCTGCGGTTTGTTGGCAGCAGCAGCAGCTGCCAACTATAACAGCAACAACATGGCCAAAACGACAAAAGTTAAGTACATCAAATCGTGTCTGGGTGTGTGTATGTGTCTCTGTGAGGGAGAAACGTGAGCTACTGTGTGTGTGTGTTTGTGTGTGTGTAAGTGGTTGCTTGAGATTTTGTATGGTCGCACAAAACACATTAGTTGAAAGTACTGACCAACAAAGCCACTAACAAGCTGTTGGTTGATTCCCCACACACACACAACATACACCCAAACACACACCACACACACACAAACACACACAATATACACCCAAGTATATACACCCCCCCCATCCACACACACAACCCCCATACCGACTGCATTACATATTGAAGTGCCATTATGTGTGTGAAAATATTTCCCTGCTCTCACCGTCATCCTCTTTGTTGTTGTTACTATACCCTATGACCATAGGAAATGGGTATACACGTTTTGTGTAAATGTATGTAACAGGCAGGGGAAGGCATCTAGGAGCCCATAAAGTATATCTATCTACAGAATATATATGTTGTCGAGGTGATCTTTCCGTGTGCCTGTCCCTTAGTTCGTATGTTTGTTAGAAACTATAAGATCTAGAGACTTAATATTTTAAGTGTATCTCCTCTTGTTTCAAATTACAAATCCATATTGTCTTATATTATATATGTATATTACTATCCCTATTTCTATAAAATCGATAAAAATCAATTTCAAAGTCCTGCTTTTGAGCATATCTCAGAGTTTCTAAGAGCTTGAGACAACAAATATAGTTTCCAGACACTCGTATGGTAAGAAAATAGCTAGAATATTTTTACTATTCAGATACTTTTTAACCGTTCCCATCAAAATTGTTAAAGAAATGCATTTAATGGTAGTCTTAAGCTTTGGTATTTACACAAATTTGAATGCCATATTTAAGCCCCGACAATTTCATAAAGATCAGACTATAAAGACCTGAGTTATTTAAGAACATATTTGCGAGAGTATAAGGCTAAGGAGAAGAAGAAGCACAACAAGCAGGTCTCTGTGTGTTTCCTCTTCTGTCTCACCACAGCTTGCCGCTGTGTACAGGGTATCTCGTAGTCGACTAGCCTGTCCTCACTTTTTATTATTATTGTGGATGATGTCGTCAACATTTTCGATGAAAACTTTTTTAATAAAATCATTTAAATAAATGAAAATTAATTTATTTGCCAGCATACTTGCGCATAATTCTTTTGCTGTTTAATAAGAAACAATTTCAAGTTGCGAGTTTTTCGTTTTTAACGTTTTTAACGTTTTTAACGTTTCTATCGTAAGTTGTGCGCAGAGAACAAACTTTTATTACCTTCGTATATCACACACGCAGCGAGAACAGGAAGTGAGTTTTCTTAAGCTTAATACACATGGAAATGGGAAATGGAAAATGGGTACAAACGAAGCTCTACAGGAGTATTATATATGTATATATATGTGTGTGGGATGTGGACACAGTTCACGCGCTGAATTCGATTTAATAGTAATATAATCTTATATAGAAGTCGAGCAATTGCTTAGGTGTAATATTTAATAATGCTTCTAGGCTCTTAAATTAAAATATTAAATTGATAAACAATTATTAGAACTCATTTACAATTACAGCTACTTTTGAATCGGTGTAAAAATATATATTAAATGGGCATATAAAATATATATTCGATTTTTTACTATCTTAAATTTACGTCAGCTCCAATTGTTAGCTTTTAATACAAGAATTTTTTAGAAAAATTCCTCCTTTATCTTTAACTATGCGTCGTAAGCCTTGATATTTCTGATAGTATATTCCATTTAATATAAAATATTCTGGAAATATATTTCATTTAATATAAAAAAAAAACTGGAAAACGAGATTTGGCTCTCTTTGAAATTTTGCCTTAATCTATAAAATCGATATGAGGATAGAATCTTTGTTTTCCATTGTAGAGGATATTATAACTTTGTCATTGAATATGTAACGCAGACAACTCAGATCCAATAAAGTGTATATATTCCGGATCAGTCCAGTCGATATAGCCAAGTCCGTCTGTCTGTCTGTGTGTTCCCTTGTCAACTAGTCTCTCAATTATAAAGCTATCTTTAGCCGAATTTGGCCGTTTCGGACCACAAATTAATAAGCCTGCTTTCCCTGTGAAAATTTTAATATTTTCCTTAAACCTTAAACTAAAAAAAAAACATATTTTTAGTTAAAGTTCAATGCAAACATTAACTATATTTTTTCTAATTCATTTGAGAAATTTAACTCAATATTAAAATTTAGTTGAAAAACTTCTTTGTCTTTTGTTTTTACTCTATAGCTAAACATCTTAGCCCTTGGCGAATTAGGCTTAGCTAGTTTAACGAACTCTCTTCAAACTTCGCTTTCTTTAAGAAATCTAAATTTGCAATTAAATATATAGAATACTTTAGCTAAACAAAGCTATTGCTAGATACTTAAATAAAATATATGAAATATATTTATAAGGGATATTATATAAAATATCTATAAAGAATAGAATTCATGTCCCAGAATATCTGCAATTATTAAAGCTTAGCTAAAAATCTAGAGTATTTTTCCCAAAAATATCTCTTTAGTGAAATTTTGATGGTTTCTCGGAAAGCTTCTTCCTCTTGTGGAGTAAATATTTGCTTTAAATATACATAAGTATCCGTTGTATTTTATATTTAATGTGCATTTGTTTTTTTGTTTTTTCTTGACTCTTGAGCTGCGTCTTTAATCCACATAAATTGCGCTTGTTCCTATTTGTGTTTGCTTTGTTTTCGACTTGTTGTGTTGCCTAAATATTTATGCTTTTATATATATATATATCTCTTTGTTTTTGCATCTTTTTCACTTTGCTTCTCGTTTCGCTTCTTCCTGCTGCTGCTGCTGCTGTTGTCAATTGCGCGTTGTTGTCGCTCGTCTATTGACGCCATGGTAGCCATTCTGTTTGGCCGTCTTGCGGGCGGCCTCCTTGGCGGCCCCCTGGCTGCTGCTGCTGCTGCTGTTGCTGCCCCCGCTTGTGGCAGCGGCCAAATCGACATCCGTTTCCGCTACGATTGGCGGACCCCATGATACTTGTCGTCGCACAGTTGGCGCCCCAGACGACGTCCCTTTGCGTCGCTTTGTGCTCGGCTGTTGAAGTGTTGCCGCTCTTTGTAGCGGTTGTCTCTGCTGCTGCTGCTGCGGCAGTTGTTGCAGCAGCTGCTGCTGTTGCCTTTGATTTTCATGTTTCTGCTGCTGTCAAAGTGCGGAGATGTTTGCCATTGCATTTTATGAAAAACTCAGACTTTCTTTTAAATATTCTTCATGCTTTTGTGCTCCTTTTTTGTATATATATAATAAAATACGAGAAAAACAAAAAACGGAAAACATTCGCTTTTATATTGCGCGTGTGTTGCACATTCTTTAATTAGTTTTGTTGCGCGTTGCCATGGCTGTTGCATGCAACGTTTACAGTTAACAGCCAGTTGGCATTGCCTCATGCATAGTTTTTAATTAACATGCTGCACAATATGCTCGTGCTTCTATTCAACTGGCTGGCATTGTTATTGCCGGGCCAAGGCATACGTATTATTTGCAGAGCAATCGCCCCCCCTCCCGAGCCCAAACCCCCTTTTCCAGACAGACTGCTTGAGTTAAACGCAAAATTTTAACAAGGCCCTAATTGGAAATTGCAGCTGAGGCAAAAATGAACTTAAATTAACTTTTGGTTCAATCTTATACAATACCCTCAACCCGAAATGGTTCAAAGCGCTAGCATGGTATTGTGTAGAAGTATGTAACAGGCAGGAGAAGGCAGTTACGAGCCCATTGAGTGCATATATTATTGATTAGGAGAGAAGAGGAAAGAGCTGAGTCTATCCTGCCAGGTTTGTGTGTCATATGTTTGGGCCCATCGATCTCTGAGACTTCAAGAACATCTCCTATATCTGAGAACGCCTAGAGTGTATATATATTATTGATCAGGGAGCTGGATTGACCCAGGTTTGTATGTCCTATACTAAACCCAGTCGATCTCAGAGACTATAAGAACATCTCCTGTATCTCCGATCGCAAAGGGTGTATACATTATAGATCAGCACGAGAATCCAGCCATGTTTGTAGGTCCTATCCCAGAGACTTTAAGAGCATCTCCTTTATCTCCGACCTCATAGGGAGAATATATTATGTCAACGAACATGGCTGGGTTCGAATGTCTCACATGTTATTCTCAGAGACTATTTTCTTCAAGTGCAGAAAATGATTGAGTCTCTCGCAACTTATCGATAGCTCGATATCCTCCTCCTTGAAATCGATCAACTATTTGTGTTTTTTTCTTCAATTTCTTGCTCTCGAAGCTTGTAAGAGTTGGAGAAGAATGCCAGAATGTGTAGAAGAATGCCAGAATGTTTGCCACGGCAACTTATCGCTGTGCTTAGGGTATCTGCTAGTCGTTTATGCCCGACTGCAGCCATATAACTTGTCCCTTTTATATCTACTTTAAGTAAATACTTTTTCTACAGCTCTTTTAAGCACCTGCTAAGTGTATTCAAGTGCTGCCCTCTACTAGATATACCCACTTGCAGTGGCTACAGGGTAAAGAAAAATTTGCAGCATTTTTCCAATCTATTTGCCCAGCAATTAGAAGCTGTCGATATCAAATAGCTTTCCCTCGATTCTCGACAAACGACATTTGTTGACTTGTGGCCAGATTGCGCATACGCCGCGTTGTCAGCCTGTGTTTATTTTGTGTGTGTGTGATTGCGTGTGTGTGTGCGTGTGTCTGTGTGTGTTTATTAAACTAGGGGCTGTTGTTTTAATTTACACGTCATTAGCTGGACTTTTTGCCTTCATTCGATTTATAGAAAAGTTGAAAAAGAACAAACACACGCACATAAAGTTGCTTTGTTATTTTTTAGTTGTTTATGTGCTGCGTGTGTGTGTGTCGACTTGAGGTTTTGTTTTTGCATTCTAAGCTCGTAATGAGTTTCACCGCAGCATTGCGGCAGCTGGCAAAGTTAAGTGCGTGCTGCGTTTGCGGCCAGGCCAAATGAATAGAAGAAGCAGCGCAAGCAGCAAGAAATGCAAGAAAATGCAAAGAAGCAGAGAGCCGCAAAACATTCTGGCATCAAAAGAAACTAGGCATGCATGCCAGAGGAGCAGGCGCCTCCAGGAGGCAGCAGCAGCTGGATGCGCACCCGCACACCAGGCTTCACTTGTGGCACTTGCACTTTTTTGTGCTGCCAGCTTAAACAAAAGCCCAAAAACTAAACCCCCCCCTTGAACCCTCCCCCAGACAGCTAAAGGCTGTAAGCGAAACTTTTTGATTTGGGGTGGGCGGACTCTTGTGTTGCGAAAAAAGAAACTTTTGGGTTGCGCTTCAATTTCGGCTGCCTTGCAATCAGGCAGGAAGAACGCCGCAAGTCAGGCGGAAACGGTTGGGCGGACAGGCTGTGGAGGGGAGAGAGGAGGGGGGGGGGGTGGTCGTTCGAGCTGCAGTTGCACAATGCTGTCGAGACAATGGCTCACGCACTTTGCCCCAGCGAAAGTTTTGCCATTGCGATACCCTGCAAGCAACCAACAGCCAAATGGGTAGTCAGAGCCAGAGCTTGCAACTTGAAGCAGCAAAATAATAAAAAATAAAGTAATTCAAATTTAAATGATTAAAATCATGCAAAGGTCAGCATATGCTACACTCAGGAAAAGTTTTAAGAAATTTGTAAAATGAAATTTTTTGAAAATTTTAGAATATATTTTCGGGTAATTTGTGAAATTAAAATTATTGAAAATTTAGAATATATTTTCGGGTAATTTGTGATATATTAAAATATATTTTCGGGGAATTTTTTCTAAATAAGAGACATTCTTTTTAAACAAGAACACATTTTTAGGGAGTTTTTACTTTTGGGAAATAATTTTACTTAAGTGTAGTTCAATTTCTTGCCACATTAGAGGATAACTGTGAGTCTATCATATAAATGCTGATCTGTCGATAAAAACATAGCAAATGTCATGACGGGGGGCTCGCCAGATTTGAATGCCGAGACTTGCCGAGAACTCAAGACTGAAGATTTGCAATGCGAGATTCGAGCTAGCGAGCAGCTTGGAAAAATTCAATTTGGCTGCAGCTTAAGTTGAACTCTGTGAAAAAGTACATGCTAAGTAAGCTCAAAAGTAACATGCCGCCCCAGACCCAGCGGAAAAAACAAACTTTCGATAGACACTTTTGCCGCTACGAGCTACATACTAAAAGCCAATAAGTTCAATATTTTGCTTTTACAATTTACTGAGAGAGAGAGAGGAAGAGAGGAGGAGATGGGGGTGGGGGGAAGCAAAAGTTGTTTTGCGTTCGTGCCGAAAAGTCGGTTGCAAAGTTGCAAGTTTCCCATTTTGAAGGCATTTGCCGCGTGTTGCTCGGTTCGTGCCATTGTCTCGATATAAATCATGGGTATATTTCTATCCCAAAAACCCGGCATGATATGGCCAGGTGCAAGGGCTCTATTAAGGGTTAAAGTTGCATCCACAAACGAAATGATATCGCATTATTTTCGGCTTAGCCAAGACCTTTGCTGCTTTCGGGCACTTTTTCTTTGGCCTTTGTTCGGCTTTTGTCTACCTATTATTTAGTTTGGCCTCAACGCATATTAATTTTGCAAATGTCTTTTGCAACAAAAGGCAATTGCAATAAGCTCCCACAAATGCAGTTCAATTCACTTTGCTCTGTGCGGGCGCATGGGCTTGGAAAGTGTGCCGCGCACAGTGGTTCGCAAGTATGGTAGAAAGGAATAAAAATGTTGTCTAGAGATCGAGTTGTCAATGCAGATGCAGATATCAGATAAAGAAGAAGAGAACAGGAATATTCCTTCTGTACAAATGCATCTAACTGGCAGAAGGAACTAACTCCCAGGCCATTCAATATATATTCTTGATCAGAGCGATGGGCTGAAGGAATCTAGTCATGTGGGTCTGTTCGTCCGGGTGAATGCGTCAATCTCGGAGGATGCAAAGCTAAAGACTTCTAAAGACAGGAAAACCGACTGAAAAACAGACAGACAGATAGGCAGACAGACAGACAGGCAGACAGACAGGAAGATAGAATACGGACAGACTGGAAGACAGTCCGACAAACAGACAGACTGCAGACAGAGACCGACAGACTTATCTTATCGTCCTTGTTGTTGTAGGTTGACGAATGTAAGTAGTCTGTTTCGGAGTTCTTGTCGTTGCGCTAGTGGTTGTTTGCTTAGGAGTTGCAGGGATTAGTTTCGGAGTTGTGGGAGTGCTAGCTGTTGTTGGAGTCTTAGTTGTTGGCTTTGCAGTTGTTGCTGTAGATAATGTAGGCTCTCAAGTTGTAGTTGTTGGTTTTGCAGTTGTTGTGGGATTGTGAGTTGTTGTTGACTTGGGAGTTGCAGTTGTTGGTCTAGCCGTTGTTGCTGTAGATGTTGAAGGCCTTGGTGTCATAGTTGTTGGTTTTGCAGTAGTAGTATTCCTAGTCGAATTCCTAGTTGTTGTTGTAATGGGTGCCTCAGTTGTCAATTGGTCAGTGGTTGGGCATTTCGGTGGCAGTATAACAATATATTCTGGTTCAAACTTTTAAAGGCAGTTCCGTGGGTCCCCGTCGCGGCTTTTGTACTTGTGGTAGTTGGGCTCGGAGTTGTTTTCAGAGATTTGGAAGAATCGGTAGACTGATAGGCGGAATAGGTGTAGTAATATCTATATTTACAGTTGATTTCAGTTCTTGATTCTCATTAACAAGCGCTTCTAAGTCAAAATGCGTCATGCAATAGTTAAAGGTGGATACGAAAGAAAAGTAGGATTGTCTCGAAATTTATGAGGAGTCGCTACTGTTGTTGATGTCGTCTTTCGTAAATGGAATACATTAGTTTTCAGATTTCTTCAACCATGAATAATATCGATAAAAATCAATTTTAACAATGCTTTTAAACATTACTTGAAAATTGTTGGAGCTAGATACACTCAACTTGGTACTTGGGACGTTCTATGGAATGCACATTTTGAATACCTCTTCCAAGTACTTTACAAATAGGAAAGCAGAATATTTTCAAAGGCACGGCCTTGCACTTTGGTATATATTAACCCTTATATGCCATATTTCAGGCCTGAAAATTTCATTTTGATCGAACTATAAACAACGAAGTTCATCATGATGTATTTGTCAGATATAGAGTGGGGCCTAGCTAAGAAGAAGCACAGTCTCTCATGTGAAAGTTTTTTAAGTTCTTTACACTTTGTCAACCACTGTGCGACATCAACTTTTGTGCTGTGGCTGCGCGCTTTTTCTATTAAATAACATTTTAGACAATTGCACACACGCACACACACACACACATACAGATACAGAGAATTGCAGGTGGGTGGGTTGGCATTGCTTGCGGGCGAACGCATTCTGAGAATGTTAAAAAGCAACTGTCTAAACCATGAAAGCCAGGCCAAAAGAATTGGCCAAAGTTAAATTAAGTGCAACACGGCGCATTGAACAGGGCCAAGCCGCTTAAAGTGCACTTTAAGATATTCACATTCATAATAATCGCAAAATTAAACTTTAATTGTAAAAATCGCAACAAAGTACCGTTAAATGAATCGATATAATTTACGCAACGAACAATAGCGCTCGCTTATTGTGCCAAACTTTCATTCTTATGCTAATTAAATAATTCATATTTAATTAAACGAGCCACAAATTTAACAACAATCTCCATGAAAGTATTTAAAGCAAGCAGGAGTGCAAAGGATTGGGCGTGACCGACTGGGAGATACTCTCAATCCAGCAAAAAGTTACCTTTGCATAGATTCCGGCTTCTTCTTTCCTTTCGCTCTTATTGTATATGAGATTTGCTTCGGTCTTTATAGTCCGATCTTTATGCAATTCGTAATATGCTTGACTAGGAGATACTCTGATTCCAGCACTAAGCTACTGTTGCATAAATTCTAGCATCTTATTTTGTAGGTTGTTTTCCCTTTTGCCCTTAACGTGTATAAGATATGCCTTCTTAATGAACTTCGGTCTGTATAGTCCGATCTTTATGCAATTTTCAAGGCTTCAATATGGCATACAAAAGTGTGTATGTACTCAAGCGCAAGGCTCTACCCTTGAAAACGAGATATTGGCGAATTTGAAGGAATAGAACTAAAGGGCGGAGTATCCGAAAAGAGAGATTTATTTAATATGATATACTTAGTATACTATACTCTATATTGAGTTTTGTATAAAAAATTACTTTTTATCTTTATTATGAAAATGGGAGGAGTTTATACAGACGGACTGTCGGACATAGATATAATTACTCAGCTCTTCGTACAGGTCAAGCATATTTCTACTTCGAATATGCCTCTACCACTGCCTGTTACATTCACATAAATAAAACCATTTTTCCCTTTTGCAGGGTATTTCAATTGACTACGTGCTCTATTTAATAATAGCCTGTTTCATGTTAAAGCTTCGACTGCCCTCCAATTTGTAAAGCAGAGTTTTTTTTTTTTTGTTCTTTCTTTGTCAAAGCATTAACCCACACTTCGCCTGGGGGGCATCCAATTGATTTTCAGCTGATTTTAATTAAGCAGTCGCACATTTTTATATCAACAACAATTAAAATAACACGCATAAATACACAGAACGACATTAAATTACGATTATAAAAATAAATCGCAATGTTATTGTAGCTCGCATACCCTTTAAAGAGGGAAGTTGAGTCGAGTTGAGTTAATATCTGTTTGAGCTCAGGTATTTAAAGAGAGAGAGAGAGAGAGAGAGAGAGAGAGAGAGAGAGAGAGAGAGAGAGAGAGAGAGAGAGAGAGAGAGAGAGAGAGAGAGAGAGAGAGAGAGAGAGAGAGAGAGAGAGAGAGAGAGAGAGAGAGAGAGAGAGAGAGAGAGAGAGATACAAAAAATTGGATGTAGATCCTGGGAGCAATAAGCAGAACAAATTTAGCAAAGTTCTGTGATATATTTCGAGGGGTAAAAAATATCCAACACGCTTTTTAAAGAATCCTTCTTACACTGAAGTTTGTCTTAAAAATTATTTAAGATATTTTCTAAGAAAATGAATTTACGAATAAACATTTCGAATATGCCAAATGTTAATTCACAAATTTTGAGCATCTTAAATGTGTTAAGTTTACGCTAGACACAGGGTATCTGCTAGTCTGGCATTGCCTCGAATGTCATGCTACATGCAAAATGCAAACAATGTTAAAATGCATCTCGACAAATTTGCTGGAATTAAAAAAAAATAAAAAACTGAATAGCGAAGAAAATGTTTGATTTAAATTTAATTTGCATTGTTTTCGTATTTATTCATGTTTATGTTGTTAAATTAAAATCAATTTAATTACCATATTCTCGCAAGCAGCTACAGGCACGGGCACACACACACACACACACACACACACTCACACACACTCACACACACTCTCACACACACACTCACACACTCACGCACACTAGACAAGCATATTTGACGTGATAATAAAATAAGATTAGGGGCCGCACTTTATAAGCTGTCAATAATCTATGCATACACAATTAATCAGGCTGCAAATCGGATTTAAAAGAGTCGCATGCATTATCTATATATGTTGGCATTTCAGATTAAACAAAAATCATATAAATGAGCGAGTGTGAGAGATAATCATGCTTGATAAATAGTTGAATATAATATATTTCGTAGCGTAACAAAATTATGGACTAGACAAGATAAATATATATGTAAATTATAATGTGTTTAGTCGGGCAAAGAGTTTCGAAAATATAACAAATAAATAAATCAAATTTGTATACCCCTGCAGAGCGTAACTAGAATGAAATCTATAAAGCATGGAGGGGGAAACCTCCCACAAGGCATATATATATATATACATATATATATTCCTGATCAGTATCAAGAGGCGACTGGATATAGACAGGTTCACCTGTCTCGTTTTTTACAAGCTATACTCAGAAACCTTTGCATAGGCTCGTATTTCAGTTGCGGGTAGTATATATGTTTATATATATATGTGGGAATTGGATAAATCGAGTGCCTATATCATATAGAAGCTAATTCAAATATTAAGTTTCTGGTAAAAATCATTTGTTGTTTCTCCAAATATCTTAACCAAACTTCCCATTAATGAGCTCTCACATGATCCGCACATATCAGCAAAGTCTGCCCAACATCGGACCACTATATCGTATAATTCTATACGTATAATCGGTTGAAAAAATATGTTTTTATATGGCAAACATTTCTACTTTACTACGGAGATACTTTGGCCAACTTACCTGCACTCAACTTCAAGCAGTATCAAGTCGGACTAATTATGCTATATAGCTGCTATAGAAACAATCGATCGTAGGGGAAGTTCTCTCATTAAAGTATTTCTTAGTCACATGCCTGCAAGGGTATTGCATATTCGGCGCGCCAAAGATAGACTTATAAATCCTATTATTTCCATGTTCAGGCAACGCTCAAGTGTATACTTTCCATATAGTTAAATGTTTTATGTAATGACATGCTTTTGTTGTTGTTGTTGTATTGCTGTTGTTGTTGTTGCTGTTGTGTTGTGTGTTATGTACATGAATATGGCTGGGTTTATATGGTGGGGTTTGATCCGGCTACAGCTCATGCAAGCTCGTCTCACTAATTGTGACGAGGGGCGCCAATTTGCTTAAATTTTGGCTTACCGGTAGCGTCGTTGTCGTCGTTGTTGCTGTTGTCGGTGTTGTTGTTGTCGTTGTTGTTGTTGTCGTTGTTGTTGTTGCTGCTGGTTGGGTTTCTATGGCATTCGGCTGACCATTCAGCAATGTTGGCGGCTCTGCAATGTCATATTGTCATATTTTTCGCATGGGTTTTAAGTAAATTTTACGTGACGCACCATTTGTGGCAGCCACATCCGTTGCCGCAAGGTTAAGCAGCTGCTGCAGCGGCTCTTCCTCCAGCTGCTGCTGCTGTGCATCCTGTTGCTGCTGCTCTTTTGGCTCCTCTTCGTCTTCCTCCTCCTCCTCTTCGATGCGCGTCGCAATGTCGCCGTTCTTTGTTGCCGCTGTGGGCGTGGCGGGCGCCGAGGGAGTCGGCGTCACATTGCCATTCTTGAGAATGCCTACCAAGGGCGCACCGTTGCCTGGCTTCTTGTCCTCCTGCGGCAGCTGCAGCGAGGGTCGGGCGAAAGGCAAATAAATCTCATTATAGAAGGCAGCTTCAGCATATTGCACTCACCGGCTTGTAGCTATATGGCGGCAGTGTGTTGCCTGCTTTTATGCCCGCAGCGCCTGTGGGCTTTACACCTGGCGATTCGTGCATTTTGGTTGCCTGCTCCTTGGACCAAATGATGTCCTCGTCCGTTTCGCGCTCGATGCGCTTCTTGTAGGCCAAATGGCTGCGATATACCTCGAGCAGGCAGCACACGACAATGATGACAAATACGCTGGTTAGCGTAATGAACAGCACCTGGGTGGAGTCCTCCTTCTTGTCCACATCATAAACGAATTTCGATATGTAGGGCACACGTTGCGGCGGCTCCTCGACCCATGGCTCCGGTATCTGCGGATCAATGAAGGTGCATTACTCTGAAATTCTGCCCCTCTCTCTGCCCCTTCTCTCTCCCTCTCTCTCCCAAGTAGACTTACCATGCTCACATTGACCATCGGCTCCTGGGTGGGCTGTTCGGTCACATCGAATTTGGCATTGCATTGGGCGCTGCGCAGGCCCTGCGGATTTATGACCGTTATGTTGTCCGCGCCGGACTTGGTGAACAGCATATATTCCTCGAGTGGCTTCATAATGTGCCCATTCACCTGTATATAGATGTCTGGCCCCAGCCAATTGCGAATATATTGTTATGTACCCTGTACCCAGTGAACTGGCTCAAGAGGGTATGCTGGCTTTGTGCGCAAGTGTGTAACAGACTGCAGGAAGCAGCTCTTAACTCATAAAGTTTATATATTGTTGCTGTCTCTTCCTATGTTTTAACTCCCATAAAATATAAGAGCTTAGGACTAGAAATCTTGAGCGAATCTTCTCCTATTGCCCGCTCAAAACAAGTTTGTCCCAATTCATAGTTAACTCTCATAAAATCTATAAAAATCGGCACATAGACACACCAAATTTGGTGTGTAGACACTCGCATAGTATTTCACTTTTTGGAAACCTACCTCAATTTCCCCCTTAATACATTCCCCCCGTGGAGTTGTAGTCTTCGCTTTCGGACAATAAATTTTAAAAGTTATCAAGAAAGAATATCTCTAACAAACTGGTAGACCATGGGAAATCAGAGCACCTGGGTTTAGGGTATCTCCAAGTCTAATGGGTTCCCCCTTTGGAGATATAAAGATAATAAAGATTGGACAACAAATTTCAAAGGTTATCAAGAAAGAATATCTCTAGCAAATTGTTGGACCAGGGGAAAGCAGAGCAGAGCTTGGTTTAGGGTATCTCCAAGTCTGTTACTCCCCAACAGAGTACTTGTTGAAATTTTCATTAGTATTGGTCATTAATTCAAATTGAAATGCAAATGTGTTGTGGCTCGCTGCTCGCCTTGAGCTTCAAACAGGATTGCAAATGGCAGCCGGCGACGGAGGAGTCCAAGGTAGAGGCCAAGTCTAGGGCTGTGGCCATTCGTGCATATTTAATGCCCGCTCGAAATTAGCAATAAAATTTTTAATGCCCAAACTCTGTGTTCGCTGTTGTTGTGTGTGTGTGTGTGTGTTGATTTTTGATTTGGCAAAGGGGCGTGGCTGGCAGAGTTCACACTGCGCTGCGAGGTGTTTAAATACAAGCTTACGGCTTGCTCGTGCTATACATTATATATGTATATTATTAAGTATCTATAAAAATAATATCATAAATAATAATTTGCTATCTATTTAACAAACTTGTTTGCTGCGGTGCCACATTGAATTATTTGCGTAGCTGCGAAATATATTTCAAGCGAATTGTTTAATTCCATGAATAGCAACAAAAAAGAGCTGATTTTTTGAGAAAGAATCGAAGACTAAATACCCTTAACTGTATTGAACTTATGGACAGTTAATATATGAGAGATCGAATTTAAAAACTTCTTAAATTCCGTTGATCGAAGAGTTTTAGATTCTGGCTGTTAGCTGATCAGGAATATAATTATGTATATATATGTATTTCTTCAGGCCCTACGAACTGCTTGACAAAAGGGTAATATCCTCTGTTCGTGCCTAACAATTAAAATTTATTTATTTAATTTTACCATAAATTAACTGATTGAAAGAGATTTTAATGCCAGGCTGAACAGTGAAATAAAATGGGCATTATTTGAAATTAAATACAACAAATATGTTAATTTGTTGTTTAATTGTCGAACTATTGTTAAACTATCTCCATGTTAAAGACGCCCGATTTAAGTAGACTTTATTCTGATTTAACGCATTTAAAATTAAAAATTATTCACATTTCTTTTTGTTGTACCTTACATCAATTCAATTGATATTATGAACATCTAGGCAGCTGCCAAAGGAGAAACTTTTTCTAATTGAATTTTTTATTAATACAACAAATATGTTAATATGTTGTTTAATTGTCGGCCTCTTATTAAACTATCTCCATGTTAAAGACGCCCGATCTAAATAAACGTTTCTCTGATTTTTCACATTTTAAATTCAAAGTTTTCACTTTATTTTCCTCTTTTACCCTACATCAACTTCAATTGATATTATGGACATTTGAGCAGCTGCCAAAGGGCAAACTTTTTCTATTTGAATTTTTGGTAACCAGTGTGCAGCTGCTGAGGTGAGCTTCTGTTTATGGCCATTGGCAAACTAACGCGCTTCGATGGCGCTTTAATGGGGCACGTGCAACAGCTCCGCGCACACACATGTGCTGCATGTGTTGCATGTGCTGCACTTGGGGGCGTGGTTGGCGTTAAACTAACAGCTGGCCGGGCCAGCTAGTTGAGAGAGTTGAGAATTTTAATCAAACTGCTGGCCGCTGCGGTTGCCCGTTGTGAAAGCAACAGCAACAGCAGCAACAATTTAAATATGAGCCACAGTAAATCTTGAGCGCAAAAACTGACAAAATTTATGGCAACGGCCACGGAAATGACTTTTTATGGCAGCGAATAAATTTAATTTTTGGTCAACAAAGTGCTGCTGTCGCCCACCCTCCACCCTCCACCCCCAACCCCCCCTCCTCTACCCTTCCTTCAGCACAGCTCCTGTGTCTGTTCATAAACTTGCAGCAACACGATGCAGCCGCTGGGCGTGGCACTTGATGAGACCGCCCAACAACAACAGCAACAACAACAACAACAACATGAATTGCAGTTAAGGCAACAGTTTGAGTCTTTAAAAAAAATATAAAGTAAAATTGCTCTAGTCGGGCGTGCCCGACTTGCAGATACCCCCTACATATTTCCTAAACATAAATTAGATATCGTTTCACACACGGCCTGGCCCTGCTTCTGCTATCCATAGCTCAATGTAGCCGCTAGCTTTGGCATTTTCAGGGTGAATATACCAAAATCTGAGAAATATCTTTACGAGTGCTTATATTTTAAACGGAGTTGGCCTTAGGTATCTAGAAAAAATTATTATATTAATCTACGTGTGCTATACGAGAATCTGTGTACCAATTTTGTTATCTCTCTGGGGGAGCTTACATTCTAGACGGACTTGGCCATAGCTTCTTATCTAGAAAATATTATATTATTAATCGACGTGTGTAATACGTGAAAATTCATACCAAGTTTGCTGTCTCTACCCCTTTAACTATTAGAGATTATCTCAAAAAATCGAGTCTGAAAATCCATATTTATCGAATTTGTAGAAATAGGTGAAGTTGGCTTTAAAATATGGCTTTCAAATATGTTTGTTTTTACCAAAATCTCTTTGAGAGAGGCTAAATTTGAGATGGACTTGGCCTTAGGTATTCATATTATTAATCTACCCCTTTTACTCTTAGAGATATGCTTAACAAATCTAGACCAAAAATCGATATTTATCGAATGTGTGAAAATAGGTAAAATTATAAACAAGCGAAATATAACCCTTTGCGCTTGACAAAGGACAAACTACATTCGAGTCGAAGAAGCTTCCCTCTGCATCGCTCAAATCCAGCATAGCCCCTCCTTTTCATTGGGTACAGGGTATAATTAATGGCAAGGCGAGCTCAAATTTATGACTGCCCACTCTGACTTGGCAGAGTTACCCCGCTTTACTCACTTGACAGGCAACCGCTGTAGCTTTTAAAGACCGCAAAACGCGAATCGGTCGTATTGATGCCGCCGATCTGGGCACGATTGGCGCCCTCGTCAACGGTGGTGGTAAGGACGCGTGCGGCAAAGTCCGTTAGGGTCACCTGTTCGCGATCGATGTAGAGCTGGGCCTGGGTGCCATTGCGCTCGTAGTAGACCGAGTGGCGGGCGCTGTTGAGGAAATTGCGATCGATCCGTGCGCCGACAGTTTTGCCACGTTCGCGATCCTCCTCGAACTGCAGATACCCGTCCGAGGTGATGGCCAGCAGTAGGTAATAGCTACGCTCCGCCGCCGTCTGCAGCAGCAGCATGATGCGATTGGCGCGCCGCAAATCGAACGAGGAGAAGGCCAGCTGTAGCCGCACATAGTTGACGCTGCCGGTGCTGGGCAGCTCGAATTTGCGCTGCAGCGTGGACTCGCCGCTAAAGTCGGCGCCCTTCTCCACCGAACAGAACTCGCCCAGGAAGCTGGTGTGCTCACAGTCGCAGGTGGACATCTGCTCGGCGAAATGCTCCTGGCAAATGCCGCCGTTCTTGCAGGGCTCGGCATCGCACTTGATCTGGCAATTGGGCAGCACACCCTCCAGAGCTGAAAGGCAATGTTGACAATTAAATGTTATTGAATCGCCGGAAATGATCTGGCAAATCTTTCCTTTAAATGTTTTTATAATATTGTGGGTTATGCGTGTTCCGCATTTTCTCAATATTAAGTAACATTTCACTCGTTCAACATTTGCACCTGGAGGTGAAAGTTTTAAGCCGACATTCAAAAAGTAATTTCTATTAATCGCACTTTCTGTACACGAGCTCCAATCTGCACTGTTAAGTTTTCAATCTGAATCAAAGAGTTGAAGTGCATTTTCACTGGTCAACAATCTCCTCGTCCAGTGTTGCCAACTGCCGCTTCATAAAAAGAAGCTGAATGCAGTGTTGAAAATAGCTTAAAAAAGCTTAATTAGCTTCTAAAGCACAAAAAGGCAATAAATAAACTTTTCTGGCATTTGCAACTTCAAACAGTTTATAGCCAAATTTAGCTAGAAAATAGCTGAATTAACAGAATTTCTCTGGCGGAAAAGGGGGCAGAGTTGGGTATTGAGAAGATTAGACTGAAAAAATCTCCAATTCTTATACTTTACTGCAAAGAGATTAACTTATTAAATTGTTGATTCTATATTGAAGGTTTTCAGCAACTTTCCACACGAAAGTCCGTTCATTATTTTAAACGAAGTTCGAGGATTTTTGTCAAAAATAAATAAAATGAATTATTGCAAGGTGTAATAAATAAATGAACTGAATTATTAGAAGGGGTAAATACTCGGAATACTTCAGCATGCCAGCTCGTACGATTTGGGCTGTGCGTTTAGGAAGTCCTTTATATAGATAGAGTCGTTAGGCAATGAGTCTTTCTAGGACTTGTGGCTGCCATTGGCGTTACTTAATCGTATCAATGTCGGGACACAATTTCCGCGGCGTGTATGTGTGTGTAAGGGTGTGTGTGTGTTGGGTGCGGGTGTGGGCGCATAAATCATACGCCGTGTAGCCTGGGGCGTTGGCCTATCGCATCGGCATTAATCTTGGTCCTGGCCTTAGCTTAACAGGCGCTGCACTCTGCGGAAATTGCCTGCATATTAAGTTGCACTGCCAGCCGCATAGCCAAAGGATGCGGCAAAAGTGGGAAGCAAGTGGCAGCCCAAAATGGCATTAGGCTCTATCTGTGTGTGTGTGTGTGTGTGTTGCCGAGGCCCGCAAATTGCACTCAGTGAAAATTGATTTATACTCGTACTTACTGGGCGCTATATTCCTTTCATTGATTTCCGCCAAGTCGATCAACTGGGCGCCAATTTTGAGGCCGCGCACACAGCCAATGTAGCCCTCCAGTTGGGGCGCATCCACATTTGGGCGCAGCAAATTTGCCGGATCGTAGCCGCCGACATGGAATTGAAAGTACTCGGTGGGCGGTGCGGGCGGTCGATGGGGCGACAGGACCTCTGCAAATAAACAAAAATCAAATGAGCCAGCCGGCCAAAATGTACGTTACGGCCACGTTAAGCACATCCTCCCCGCCCCCCCAGCCACCCAGCCAACAATTTGAGTCCAATGCGAGGCTCTGGCTCTATATTTTGTGTGCTTGTGCGGAAATGAGCCTTCATTGCTGTGGCATTTGGCTTTAGTGGGGCCCGCTTTTGGCATTTTGAGGGCTCAAGTTTGTCTAATTGAAATGTTTGTTGCACTCTGCCTCCGCCAAGCCTCTCATCCTCTCACCCTCTCACCCAGCGGTTCGGCATGCTATCTGTCTATAATTTCGGTTAACGCATTTAATTACATAAGTGCTCATGTGTTATTTTGTGCCAACTATTGACGCGTTGCCAGGCTCCAGCTCTGGCATTTTGCACAAGTGGGCTAATTATGCCCGGAATCCATTGAAGGTGTGCCTAATGGGTATATTAGCTTGGCGAGGCAGTTTGTTACAAGTCATGGAAAGTTTTTCGAAGCACATTCAGTGGATCAAGTCGAGTTCTCGGCTGTATGAACTAATTAATTAATTCATTTTTTTTCTATTTCTTGTTCCATATTATCGATTAATATCGATTTTGAGGCTTGGTTTTTTAAGGCATATGTTACTATATAGATTCCTTATCCAATGCCACCAGATAGAGCCTTGCGCTGGGGTATATATATACTCCTTAATCAATCTAGTCGTGTTTGTCTGTACGAACTAATTAATTTATTAATTTTTTGTGAATATCTTGTTCCATACTATTGATAAATATCGAACGAAAGTATCGCCAAACACATTCAGTCGATCCGTCCGTATGAACTATTTAATTTATTTATTTTTTGGCTATAACTTCTCTTATAATATCGACAAATATCGATTGCAAGACTTGGTATTTTAAGCATAACTCGAAATTTATAAGAGTTAGTATCCAGAAGTAAAAAAATATGTCACTTTTCAGATTACGACCTCCATTTCCACTAGCATTCAAAATTATTCATTGCTTGAAGATAGAGCCTTGCGCTGGGGTATATATACTCCTTTGTATACCATATTTAAGCCCTCAAATTTTCATAAAGATCGGACTCTAAATACCGATGTTATTCAAGAACATATTGCCCATACATAGGTTGAGTTAAGGGGAAGAAAGTGCGCACAGCTCCTGCAGTAAGTGCAAAGCAAGCCATGTTTTCTTATAGAAGGAAGCTACAATGCCTGTCCAGGGTATAACCTTGTCGGGCACTCTCGACTAGTTTCCTCTTACTAATTATGATTGATTTTGTATTGCCCAGTTGACGAGAGTCAACCTCTGGCTTCCAATTGCTGCCAATGGGTGCACTGAGCTACCAGGGCTACCAGTTCTTTGATTGATTTACCAATTGCAAATTTTGGTAAATTGCGAAATTTCACAAAAGCCAAGCTGAATGCAGTCCGGCATTTGGGCCAAGTGCAAAATGCCTGCCTGGGCTTATTAATTAAGGCAGCGCTTAAAGTGTAGTTAAACACACAATTGCAACTGTTTACGTTTATCGGCTTAAGGGCTTGTAGTTGTTTAAATAATTAAATTTGGTTTAATTCATAATTGACGCTCACTTCGATTTGCCTAAAGCTAGTTTGAGACTTATTGAATGGATTGCATTTATTATCATTACTAAGTTTAACAATTTGCACTACATAACTCGGAAGTGGAGAGTCGAAGTGTCCTTAAGACGTTTGGCAATAAATATTGTTGGGTTTAAAGCTTGCTATTTGGAGATAATTGTATATTTAGCTGGTATACTCTTCCAGTGGGTTACATAGGTTTATCATATAATGTGTGAAACTTTGCATAAATTCGTATTTTTGCTGGAAGCGTAAGCTGGATCGTATATGATACTTTATAGCTGCCCTATGTATTTTTGGAGGATAATTACTTGTTTGCTTACAAAGATTGTTTATTTTTGAAGATATCTAAGCCCAGCAATTATCAACGTTGCGCACCTATATTATCTAGTCTCCATAGTATCAGTCGGCTACAAAAAGGAGTTCTCATCTGAAAATAGTTTTTTTTTGTTTGTTGAAGACAAATTTACCAAGGCGCTGTGTCCGCAAGGTAAACACGAAGTTGAAGATTCGAGCCACCGTGAAGAGAAGAATTCTAAATAGAAAATGTTTCTAAATGAAATAGCTTCTTAAAAGCTTTTGCTTCATCTGCATTAAACTAGCCCGAATTACACAAACAATTCCGTAACACACGTTCTAAACAATATTAAGTATTACTTCGACTCGAGCATCGCCGGGAAATTTCCTCCAGCAATAATTATATATTATGCGCACTCAAAGCCACATTGTTCACTTGATATTTCCCAACTAAATTCCCACTCTTGTTCAGCTCTTGACCTAACTAATAGTTTCCTCTTATACATATTTATATATCTATATCTCGCTTGCCTATAAATGTGAGTTTAAAAATGATTTAAATGCAATCGAAATTCAATGTTTATTAGAAGCTAATCCAATGGACAGGCGTGTGCGTTTTATGGCCAACGTGTTTGCCGCTTCAACAATTTAGTTTCAGTTTTATTAACATGTATAACTGAACTGCTCTGCTACGAAATATTTCAAACGAATATAAAGCAGCTGCATGTTTTTTATGCCATACAGAGAAAACTTTTACCATTTGAATTGCTTTCATATAGTCACATTTTTTTTTCTCTTCCTTCACTTTAACTGAGTTTAACAGGCACACACACAGGGACAAAACAACAACAACAACAACAGCAACAACAAAAAAGGCAACATTTCAAGTGCAAATAATTTTTGGCGATCGGAGTGCACGGATTTACAGTGTGTGCGTGTGCATGTGTGTGTGTGTGCGCAAATTTTTGGCATATTTGCAACTTTACTTGCTAAACTATTTGCAAAATTTTCATGCTGCGCTTGGCGGCGCATAAAAAACTGACAGTGAGACCAGAGACAGCGCGGGTACAGGAGCAGGAGCAGGAGCTGGAGCGGGCGAGGGGTAATGTTGCCAGGCAACCGCTGCCGCTAAACAGTTGTGCATACATTTTCGAGGACGAAAGGAGGACAGGAGCACAGGCTTTGTTGGTTCAATAAAAAAAAAATAACAAGTAAGAGTGCGGCAGTCGGGTGTGCACGACTAGAAGATACCTAGAACGCAACGTTGAGCTTCGCTTAAACACATTTTAGTTTGCTTCCTTAAATACATATACGTACATATATACTCATACATACATACACATACAAACACACAGACAAATACGCACACAGACAAATACACACACAGATACACAAGCACGCGCTCTGCCTCTTCGCTTTGCTCCATACCATGGAAAATGTGTTCTTGAATAACTTGGGCGTTTAATGTCCGATCTGGATAAAATTTGTAGGGCTTAAATATGGCACACAAAAGTGGCTGTATGCCAAGGCGCAAGGATCTAAACTTAAGAATTTGATATTTTCGAATTCGTAGAAATATGAGGAAGGGGTGGAGTAACTACAAAAATAATATAAATATACTATACTAGACCCTATATACTATGTAAGGTGTATCCAGCTCTTATAAGCAACCACAATTGACTAATTAATAGTTTTGGGAATCTGAATAATCTGTACAAGATACTATATACTAAGTTTAGTGAATGTAGCTCTTATATTCCTTGAGCTATGCTTAATTTTTTAAGTCTGAAAATCGATTTTTATCGACATCAATGAAATGTAGGGAGCTATCGACAAAAAGTGAATAACTACTTCTCAACTACGAAATATATATTCCAAATTTTAAGAAGTTATTCTTCTTTCCGAGATACACACGGACAGACAGGCATGGCTAGATCGATTTAGTTCGTCATCCTGATCAAGAATAAACTCTATGGTGTGTGATCGGTTATTATCGATATAATCGAAATGGCGGGAGATATCGACAAAAAGGAGATACAGACAGACGGAGAAAAAGACAGACGGACCTTCATCAACCTGATCAAGAATAAACTCTATGGTGTGGTAGATGCTTCCCGCTGCCTGTTGCAAACATGTTCACGAAAAACATTACACCCCTTTCCCATTTGCAAAAGGTGCAGGGTGTCACGAAACACGAAAACAATATCAAACAAGTGAGGGGTCTCCGGACGCTAGGCAACGTAGCCGCCTGTCAATGCAGGGCCATGTCAGGATTTACAGCGGCGGGGGCGGCGGGGGCGGCGGAGATGCGGCACTTTTGTATTATGGCTGCGCGGGGCCCGTGGGCGACTGGACGCAGCGCATCGCCAGTTTGCAGCCGACAATCGACCTGAGTGTGGCCACCATGTACGGACGGCTGCCGGGCACAGGCAACGGTGCGGCCAGCGGCGGTGCGGCGGGTGCTCTTGGTGACAGGGTGAAAATTGGCTTCTGCACGGATTTGGACAAATCGGTGCTGGTGAACAACTTTGAGAAGCGCGGCTGGCATCAGGTGAACGGCGACGATGATTGGCATTTCTATTGGGCCGGCGTGCAGACGTGCCGCAACATTTTCAGCGTGGACAGCGGCTATCGGATGCACGACACCCAGATGATCAATCACTTTCCCAATCACTATGAGCTCTCGCGCAAGGATTTGCTGGTGAAGAACATCAAGCGTTATCGCAAGGATCTGGAGCGTGACGGCAATCCGCTGGCCGAGAAAACCGAATCGAATAACTCGAGCGGCACACGTTACCTATATTTGGACTTTGTTCCGACTACCTTTGTGCTGCCCGCCGACTATAATATGTTTGTGGAGGAGTATCGCAAATTTCCGCTTAGCACTTGGATCATGAAGCCCTGCGGCAAGTCTCAGGGCGCTGGCATTTTCCTGATCAACAAGCTGAGCAAGCTGAAGAAGTGGTCGCGCGAGGCGAAGGGTCCCTTTCATCCACAGATAGCCAAGGAATCGTATGTCATCTCGCGCTACATTGACAATCCGCTTCTAATAGGCGGCAAGAAATTTGATTTGCGTCTTTATGTGCTCGTCACCTCGTTCCGGCCGCTCAAGGCGTATCTGTTCAAGCAGGGCTTTTGTCGCTTTTGCACCGTCAAGTACGATACAAGCGTCACGGAGCTGGACAACATGTACGTCCATCTGACCAATGTCAGTGTGCAGAAACATGGCGGCGAGTATAATACCCTGCATGGCGGCAAATGGTCCGTTCAGAATCTGGCGCTCTATTTGGAGGGGACGCGCGGCAAGGAGGTTACCGATCGCCTCTTTGGCGCCATCTCCTGGCTAATTGTTCACTCGCTGCGCGCCGTGGCGCCCGTCATGGCCAGCGATAGGCATTGCTTCGAGTGCTATGGCTACGATATTATCATTGACAATGCCCTGAAGCCCTGGCTGGTGGAGGTGAATGCCTCGCCCTCGCTAACCTCCACCACGGTCAACGATCGCATACTCAAGTACAAGCTGATCGACAATATACTCTCGGTGGTCCTGCCGCCGGATGGTATACCGGATGTGCGCTGGAGCAAGATACCCAGCGCGGATGCTCTGGGCAATTTCGAGCTGCTCATCGACGAGGAGCTGGCTGCACAGGATGAGGCGCAGAACAGCAGCAACAACAACAACAGCAGCTCCTCGCATACCAAATCCGGAAAGTTCAGCAGCCGCTGGAAGTGACGAAGGTAGCCCCGAGCTGAGCCGACGCGTTCAGCTCACAAGTGAGAGCGGTGCAATAGCTAATATTTTAAATCGTTTTAACGTGGCAATGTGTTCCGAATAAAAGTCTTCGTGGAGAAAACTAAATTTTCCAATCAACCGATTGCAAGGCATGAGTAGTTCGTCAAGATGGAAGATTAAATCTAATGAGGAAAATATGGTGTTCTACCTTAATAGAGGACATTGTAACTAAGCCATAAGTGACCGACCGACCGACCGACCGACCGACCGACCGACCGACCGACCGACCGACCGACCGACCGACCGACCGACCGACCGACCGACCGACCGACCGACCGACCGACCGACCTACCGACCGACCATCCGACTGACAATCCGACTGACAATCCGACTAACAATCCGACCGACCATCCGACCGATCGACCAATCGACCGACCGACCAATCGATCTACCGACCGACCATCCGACAGACCATCCGACCGACCATCCGACCGACCGATCATCCGACTGAGCGACCATCCGACCGACCATCCGACCATCCGACCGACCGGCCGACCGACCGACCGACCGACCGACCGACCGACCGACCGATCGACCATCCGACCAACCATCCGACCGACCGACCGACAATCCGTCCGAACGACCGATCGACCGACCATCCGACCGACCGACCGACAATCCGTCCGAACGACCGGTGAAAAGCAATCTCCGACCACAAAGAGTTTATATATAGAGTCTTGATCAGTCTCAAAAGTCGTGTCAATATAGCCATATCTAGTAGTCCGTCTGTCTATTTCTATACAAACTGGTCCATTACGTTGAAAGCTAACGTCACGACACTTTACAAAGGTTCTTCTTACTGTCGTGTAGCTGATTGTTTATCTTTGAGATACGTTTGGGTTAGTCTCAGTGTTACTAGCTGCCTAAGTCTTCTGGCGGACAGACATGACTTACCCTTCTCCGGATTACTCCAGGGCTTGTTGGCATACTCGTCCAGCAGCAGGGTGCCGCGATCGATGCTCACGCTGCGCTGATTGACATGCATGCGAGTCTCCTGCTCGCCGCGCACAATGGCCACCTGAATGCTCTTCAGATTGGCCATCAGCGTTTCGTCCAGCAGCGTCAGATTGACGATCTCATCGCCGTAGTTGTAGAGAAAGACAATCTCGCGCGATTGACTGATGTACAGGTGCACAAAGTTGTTGTAGTGATCGTTGGCATAGAGCACCAGGGAGTTGGTGTCGTAGGTGCGCAAATTAATCAACAGATCCTGGCTGAGTATGCCCTTGAGCATCTCCCGCTCGCCCTCGATGCCGTGCAGCAGTATGGCGGCGGTGGCTCCCACGCTGAGATAGTTGCGCATAAGAAACGCCTCGCGATTGATGAATGTCAGCGCCTTCTCGTTGATGTCTGCAAGCAAATGGATTAGCTTTGAGCTGGATTCGACCAGACCGTCTACTCACTTGTCTCACAGAACTCGCCGATGTGAGCCCAGGGATTGTTGCAGACGCACTTGAAGCTGCTCCAGAGCTCCTTGCACTGGGCGCCGTTGCGGCACGGCGAGGGCACACAGGAGGGCTTACAGTCCTTGATTATCTCCGATAGATGCACAGACATGTAGCTGTAGATGTCGAGTATTTCACCATTGACAACCAGACCGCGAAAGCAGCCAATGAGGCCAGCCTTAACGGACAGCTTCTTCAGCAGGTCGCTGCAAATGCACAGAATATTGCTCGAGGATTACGTCATATTATGGCAGCTTCTCATAACTATTCAATAACTTTTCTCTGCTGCGAGGTCCACACCTGCAGTGCAAACAATAATATCAAAGTGAGACTCGAACTTTCCCTCGCTTTACTTTGCGCTTACTTTATGCAAATAGCGTGTAGCCCTGGTCGCTCGAAACCTAACGCCGTGTTGACGTGGCCGCGACGCCTTTGGGCTTTCAAGTTTCTCGCCTTGGCAAATCGAAGCAGACAGACTGGACGCAAGCACCAATCGGCCCATAGAATGGCGAAAGTTTCTTCAACTCATCTGTCTGCTCGTTTATTCGTCCACTTTTGCCATTTCTTTTTATTTTTTTTTTCGTAGCCTGACGCCCCTTTTTTCTTAACTCCTTAGCATACTCTTACCCGGAGCGGGCTTCTATAACTTTGTCATTGAATTATGCAGAAATTTAAAACCTAAACTAAGAATTTGTGCTAGGTTTGAGCCATCGACGTTCCGCTTGATGGTCCGACGCGCAGACATCACGATACAGGTTACAGATACAGATAGAAATATGTATGGACAGAAATAGTTTGAGCCAGCGACTTCCCGTTTGAGGGTCCGACGCTAAGACTTCAGGCTTCAGGTCTAACAATGTGATATATTTATGCACAGATAGAAATATGTATAGATAGAAATTCCTGTCCTACTTTTTATTTCCCATGCAGAGTATTTAAACGTCGTCTTTGTCCAGCTAACACTTTTGTCCCGGCGTCTAGTATACTTATACTCTTTTACTCTTTTTTTTTTATTCCAGCAATTTGCAAGTTTCGTTCGCTTTCAACTTTTTGCGCACTGAATCCGTACCCTTCATTTCCCCGCCTTTCCAACCTGCTCACCCCTCGCTTTGTAGCCAACAATGAATTGGCCAATAAAATCTCAAGTGTAAGCTTTTGAAAATTAAAGTGGCGGAAATGTCTTGTTTATACGCGTGCAGCGGCAACTCCCCCGCCAGAAGTAGCAGCAGCAGCAGCAGCAGCGGCAACAACAAAAGTTGCTCAAAAATGTCTTTCTAAATTATGTAAATTTCATTACAAGTCGCCGCAGTCGCTTTCGCTGAGTGTTGTCTGCGTAAAAAGCTCTAAGTAAAATTAAAATTCTTGTTTTAAATAAAAGAAATTCTCAACTTTTAACGCGCATTGGTGTTTTTCAAGTTTTTTTTGTGATACCCTCGTTGCCGTGTGCCCAAAAGTGGGTATATTGTATTTGGCAATAGAAAGCCTATCCATATAGAGTATATATAATTGTTCAGAGTTGATCTAGCTTGCGTGTTCCTTGGTATTATTTCTTTTATCAAAATATGTTAGGCTTTAAGTAAAGGTTCGATAAATATGCCCTCAAATTGATAAATATTGGTTGCCGCCCCATGATTTTTCATATGCGTAGATAGTTATTTTCTACGTCAAGACCATCAGATACTCAGATTAGACTGCTAACAAGCGGCAGGTCGCCAGTTCAAACCCAACAGAAATTTATTAATAAAATAAAATGCAATCAACGAAGCCTGGGCACATCAAGCCCAAAGTTTAGGGATCGAAACCCCTCAAGAGAGGTTAGATAAAATAGTTTTTATTCATTTCAACTGAGGCTCGCCGAGTAAATATAAATTTAGAGCTCTGTGCAGGGTATCTGGCAAGTCGAGCAGCCTTACTTGGTTTGCATTCTTTTGTAATTTCTTTTCACTTTGTCGCCGTTTTGCCTGTAATTGTTTGTTAAGTTGTGTAATTGTTCTTTAAGCGCTAAACTTATTGAATAATGCCAAACGAATTGGCCGGCAGGCAGGCAGGCTGGCAATAAACGGAGTCCTTGGCCCGGACACGGTCCCAATCGCGGTGTCCTTTACCTAATTGCAGGCTGCAGCAGCTATTAAGTCATTTGTTTTTGCAACATGTGCGCCAGTTTGTGTATGCATGTGGCACATGTTAATTTCACTGTATTTTTTATATATATTTTTACATGTGGTTTTTTTCTCTGTTGCACACTTTTGAGCGCTCAACGTCAACGTCAGGCAGAGACAGCGTTGCGCATACGCCGCGTGCAACGCGCGGGCGGTTGCATGAAATGAAATTTAGCGTTTTGCCTTGCAAATGATGTGCCGTGTGACTGGCTGACACTTGGCTAAAAGGATTTGCACGCTGCCTGGCTGGCTGCCTGGCTGGCTGGCCAAAATAAAATAAAAACTTGCACAAAATTAACGGCAATAAAATGAAAGAATTTTGACAGCCTATAGACAGGGGCAGGGCGTGGCGGGGCATGAGGCATCCTGCAGCTGCAGAGCTATGTTCAGCGGGCGGAAATCCTATTAACGTTGCAAACGCGCAAAGTGCGAAGCAATTAAGAATTTATTTAACACCGTCACAAGCAATTAAGCACTTTTCATTCATTCACGGCCGCTGCGACGACACGCGCAACACACACGACACACAGGACACGGAGGACACACCCAACACACAGGACACACCCGACCCACACAGGACACACACGGGACAGTGACACATTTTTGCCCGTTGGCAATCGACGTCGCTGTCCTGTTTCCTGCTGCTGGCCGAATAATTCGCATATTTGGCATGCCAGTTGTCTGTGTTTTTTGGGGTGCCCATGGCATCTGCTGCATCCGCCGGGTAATCGATGGCCATGCAAATGATCAACAGGACACGGCCACGGACACGGACACGCACACACCCAGAGCAGCAGCAGGACATCGCGCGTTTGCTGGTGCTGCAGCTGCTGTTTTCTAAACAACATGACACGGCCAGAACAAGGCCCAGACGCACCGCTGACAAAAAGCCGATTACAACCATCATTAGCGGGACAGCGACAGCAACTCTCTCCCCATCTCGTTATATTCAGCTGACATTTTAAAACCACCCAAAGCTAGGTATTTGCTCAATTGGAGCCAACTGCATAGCAATACCCTGTGCTAAACAAGTGTCCTACTAGGAGGTATACTGCACTCAGCGAGGGTCTCCCTAGCATATACCCTGTGCTCAGCAAGTTTCCGACTAGGTGATACCCTGCACTCAACGCTGAGCTGCCTTATCCTATATAGACATGGTCTAAAATTTCCCACCCCCATAACTTGGTCAAATCTAATCCAATTTTCACGAGGTTTGGCTTTTTCTTCATGGTTTTCCCTCTATATTAATCTGGCATTCAAATATGAACACCTATTTTTTACTCGAAATTCATGTCCAAATCTTACCCCAAGATTCGTATATAGACCTGGGTCAAAATTTCCCATACCCATAACTCGGTCAAATATCATCCGATTTTAACGAAGTTTGGATTTTTCTTCATGGTTTTCCCTCTAGATTAATCTGGCATTCAAGTCTGAACACACATTTTTTAGTCGAAATTCATGTCCAAATCTTACCCCAAGAATCGTATATAGACATGGTCCAAAATTTCCCACCCCCATAACTTGGTGAAATCTCATCCGATTTTTACGAAGTTTGGGTTTTTCTTCATGGTTTTCCCTCTATATTAATCTGGCATTCAAATCTGAACACCTATTTTTTACTCGAAATTCATGTCCAAATCTTACCCCAAGATTCGTATATAGACCTGGGTCAAAATTTCCCATACCCATAACTCGGTCAAATATCATCCGATTTTTACGAAGTTTGGCTTTTTCTTCATGGTTTTCCCTCAAGAATAATCTGGCATTCAAATCTGAACACAAATTTTTTAGTCGAAATTCATGTCAAAATCTTACCCCAAGATTCGTTTATAGACAGTGGTCAAAATTTCCCATACCCATAACTTGGTCAAATCTCATTTGATTTTTACGAAGCGTGGCTTTTTCTTCATGGTTTTCCGTCTAGATTATACTGGCATTCAAATCTGAATACATATTTTTTAGTCGAAATTCATGTCAAAATTATAGACATCGGTCAAAATTTCCCTTCATTCAAAAGAGTCTACATTTGATTGGTATTTTAAGGCACATTTTTGGTTCCAATATTAAGCGAAAATATATTACATTATGCAAGAAATCCAAATGCAAATTTTAGTTCAAAAGCAAGAAGTATTCTATTTCAATTGAAATTAGGAAATACAAGTTCTTTCAAACCAATTAAAATTTAAGCCAATTTTTTGCTGTGTAGCTGTCAGCAGCGAAATACACTTGAGGAACCTTTGTTCAATTAATTAGTTCAAAAGTCATTTCGGTAATAAGATCAATAAACCAGATTTTCAGAAAATTGTTATACTTCATATTGACCGCAGTCTGTCTCGAGGGATTAATTGAAAGTCCATCAGTTGGCTCGCTTTCCACATGCTGCTTTAACGTGTCCCGCTGCGTTAAGGTAGAGTCTCGTCCTGCCTCGCACCGTCTCCTCCCGTCCTCTCGTCCTTGTCTGCGTCAATATGTTGATTAACTCATTTATTTATGAGCTCGCACTGATTCCGCTTAATGGCTTACGCTGCACTTTGTACACAGCAGACCACTCGCTGTATCCTTGCCGTGTCCTTATAAGACTGGGAAGTACTTCAATATTTGTATACCCTGTATGCAAGGCAGCGTTAACAAGCGATTAACAAAGGCTGTACTTGTAATTTGTTGTATATCCTTAACTTTGTCAGAAATGAACCGTCAGACCTTGAACCGAACCTCAATCCGATTTATGTGTACTAAGACGAGTCGAGTCTCAACCTGAACCGAACCATATGTTCCAATCTAGAACCTTCTTAAATGTTTGATAGGTTTGCTTGTAAATGCTTCCTATGTGTCAAATTCTCTTAATTGACTCTACACAAATTTGTGTTGACATTACCCGTGAACCGGTTCTCGTCAAAACTTATTATTCTTTATGTACGATGAACTGATCCCTAAAGTAAAAAAGTGGAATAATAAAGAGACGACTCTCAAGCAGTTTATAATATGTTGATAATGTGCCCAAATTAAGCCATTGGTTCGAACCTTGAACCGCACCGCCGAACATTTTTGCTAGGCTTCCTTGTAAGCTCTCTCAGAGGTGGTTGTATTTTTTGTCAAAAAGGCTTAAAGCCGAATTTTTCATTCTTTATTTAACGTAAACCCAACCTCAAAGCCAATTAGTTGAAGAAAGACGATCCGAACCTCAAGCTGAACCGAATCATATTTGTTTTTTAAATCACCTCAATGTGGGTCAATGGTTCAAACCATGAACTGAACCACCAAATTTTAAGGAATTATTTGAATTTGTCCTTCAAATGTTTTAAAACTGAACCAATTTTCATATTTGAGGGAAATGCGTCTATGGCCTGTAGACTCTTTTGAACTTGATATCGTGCTTTTCGCAATATCCTTAAAACATGTACAGAGTATGTCCTGGCCGTGACTCTTTTCGCAACTTTTCCGCTTGTTTTTTTTTATTGCATTACATGTACTCGGGCTTGTAATTCTCCTTGTGTATTTTTGTTGTTGTTGCTGTATCCGTTTCTCGTATTCCTTTTTATTTTGGATATATATAAATTGAACTCCATAATTGGCCAACTGAAAGCGAGTCGGCTCGGTTTGGTTTTGGCTCGTTTCGGGTAATATAAAGCGCAGCACTTTACCGTTAATTACTTTGCGTGTTTACCGCTCATCGAAATTTTATGAATCGTTTCGGCCCGCTGCGGGTTTGAGGTTAAGTGCAAATGTGTACACATTTGCTGCTTATCCTTTTTGTTTTTTTTTTTCTCAATTGGATTTTGCACATTTTTAATAATTAAACACAGTCACACACACACACACAGACACTCGAAATGCTCTCGGCTTGTTAAGTGCCCCAGACCGAAATCTCTTCCTTTCCCACATGTCTCCATACTATCTATGACTGTGCACATCTGTCTGTCTGTACGCGCGCGTGTGTGTGTGTGTCTGCGGGGAAAAAACTTTATAAATTATGCCAATCAAGCATAAGCGCGTTTTAAGTGCGCCAACTGCCAAAGGGGGGCAAAAAACGCGACGCTGCTCGAAAGGGGTAAAAAACGCGCGCGAGTTGTGGGCGACTTTATGCCCCACGTTACACGCCCCGTCCCCTTAGCCCAGCCGTGGCCCAGCCGTGGCTTGATTATTGATAATGACTTTGAAATGAATTTCCAGCGGGAAGTTAATTTAATTATGGCAATTCTTTTGAACCGAGTACTTTGCGAATAAAATAGCATCGATGTGTGGTGCAAACCAGTGCCTGGCAACGGCAACGGCATCGGCAACGGCAGCACAAGTGCTTGGCTGGATAACAGAATTAAAAATGTAATATAAACAATGTTTTGATTAATGATTACCCAATCTACTCATGCTGCAGACGGGCAATATGTGGGCAAATTGGCTCAAATAAAGCTTTAAGCTGAATGATAAACAGCAAAGAGATTTGTTACGAACATTTTGCTGCTTAGATGAAAGAGTTCCATAAAATTGTTTGTCAATGCGAGTCAAAAGATGAAAATGTAATTAAACGTATCCAAATTGGAGTTAAATTATAAAATTCACAAAAGCGATTTGCTTATCTAGAATTCAATATTTTTGTATACTAAAAAAAAAATACTTGTTTTTTTTTTTTGATTTGAATGGACACGAACCTAAGTTCTCACGTTTGCCAGGCGGACGCCTTTCCACTAAGCTACTGCCAGCAATTAAATTGGCTGAGCAAGAGCATATAAATTGTGAGTGAAGCAATGTTAAGGCCAATTTCAATACAATAAGAAAAAGGCAATAAAATTGTCATTAAGTTTTCTTGCGTCTGTTGTGCCTTCGCTTGGCTTTTGAATCATAGATCTTTGTCCCATCTAAATGCTTGCATAAATGCAGAGAATATTCCCTGTCTAAGATTCATCAACTCGATGTACTAAGTCAGTGCCTCGCCTAAGGAGCAAGTCTCAACGTACTGATGGCAACACAGTTTCCCAGCATCTGCTCTGGCGTTTTGAACTCTTCTAGGCAGGTTGTGCAGGCTGTATCTTCCATAATCCTTAGCTTTTATAAAGGCTTCACAGAGTATGTTATGCCTTGTAAGAAAGCTTGTGAAGATCGAAGTCCTCGCTCATTTGCATTTGGGTGTTCGTTTCCTTTCAAAGCTAACTAGTAGTTGTTTGCTCTGTTTAGTTGCCTTAATAGTTTGTCTCTAGATGAATATTATGGCTGACAAGACCTGGTCTACTCCACACAGAATGTGTCTTAGTGAGTGGGTGTCTCCACAGAATATTTTAAGCCCCTAGAAAGATGAGCATCTCCCTTCCCAGCCAATTCATCCGCGAACTTGTTGCCTAGGATATCAACATTACCCAATACCCAGTAGATGTTTATTCAATTGGTCATCTCCTACTTATGAAGAGTATTCTAGGCTTGCCTAGACATCACTCTTTAGGTGTGAAATGCTTTAATTGCCACTTGGCTAGGTTAGAAGATGTTGATATGCATTTGATCTAGGCTGAAAGATGTGTTACGGACTCTGACTACTTGTAAAATGCTTCTTAATTTCACTAAAGAAATAAAAAAAGCAAAGTCAGAGTCCGTAAAGTGCAGCCCTTGTTAATTCTTAATGAAAACTTTGAAGTGTTGGATTCAAATTGTTGAATTGCTCAAAAATGTCAACAGTCTAGTTAGCTAAAGTCTAGTTAGCTAGCTGCTCAGATAATCACAGGAAACGCCTCGCAATGAGATTTGGGTGTGTTGCACTCGTCAGCATGGAGACAGTTGGCAGCCCTTGGGCTACGCTTTGGTCGCCTTTGAGTGTCTTTGTTGCCTGGCTGGGCTGCTGCTGCTGCTGTTGGTGGCCAGTTAGTCGCGCGTTTATAATTAAAACGTAATTGCCGCAATAAATTGCACAGACCGCAATGGCCAATGGCCAGCGAATGGTGACCATTGGAGCGCGGCCGCGAGTTTTTGCACTGTGGTTATTATTACAGCTGCTGCTGCTGCGTTGCAAGCAGCCATAAAAACGATTGGGAATGCGAGTGGCCCATTCCAAGGCTGATTACATTTAACCGTTGCTAGACTCCTACTATATCAAAGCTGTACTTACAATGTGGCGCCACCGATGTACATGCTGCCCTCGAATGGGCCAAACTCCTCCTCGGGCAGCAAATCGAGCATCTGGTAATCGGTGTTTATCATGAAGCGCACATGATATTGGTTGTAGTCTATCCATATTTTATGCCATTCGCCGCCATTTAACCTGAGAACAATTAGAACGAATCGATATATCATTGGGCGTGGCAACAACACATGGCTAGCAATATTACCCGGCTTTGCCTGGGCGATAAAAAAATTGTCTCTCGTAATTCACTTTTCAATCTTATATGGTTGATACAGCGCCGATCAGTCAGTCAGTCAATCAATCAATCAGTTGTGTATATAGGAAATGGAGATCTGTTTGTAGGAGCTCGTTCAGCTTGCTAAGGCGGTTAATCACCAGTCAGTCAATCAATCAATCAGTCAATTGTATATATACAAATATATGTAATGGAGATCTGTTTGACAGACTTTATTTTACTTTAAAGCTCATGCTATTGAGGCTGTGTGCACATTATCAATCAGTCAGTCAATCAATTAGTCAGTTTTATATATATTAAATGGATATCTGTTCGACGGACTCAATTTAACTTTAAAGCTCATTCTGTTGAGGCTGTATGCCCACCATCAATCAGTCAGTCAATCAATCAATCAGTCAGTTTTATATGTATTAAGTGGAGATTTGTTTGACAGACTTAATTGGACTTTAAAACTCATGTTGTTGAGGCTGTATGCCCATCATCAATCAGTCGGTCAGTCAATCAATCAATCAGCCAATTTTATATATATAAATTGAAGACCTGTTTGACAGACAAAATTAAGGTTTGAAACTCATGCGGTTGAGGCTGTGCGTTGATTATTAGTCAGTCAGTCAGCCAGTCAATCAATCAATCAGTCAGTCTGGACAGTTTTATATATAGAAAAGAGAGAGATATGTTTGACAGACTCACCTGCGATGTGAGTTAATCACCAGCTCCCGTGTGGTGCCCGTGCTGAGGGTGAAATTGAACGTCAGCTGATAGTCGCCCGTGAGGGCCACCATGAAGGAGGGATAATGCGCACGGATTGGCGGCTGAAACAGCAGAATGGCCTTCTCGCCCGTGGTGCGGAAAGAGAAGGCAATATCGCCCTTGCGCCAGCCGGGCACCTCAATGTACGACTGCGATGTGGTAAAGGTGACCACATACTTTTGGGTATCTGTGTGCCGCAATTTTAGTTAGTTGTTTGTGGGCTGTGGGCTATGGGCTTTGTCGCCAACGGCTGCAACTCACTTGTCTCGACGCATTCCAGGGGGCCCAGCGTGATGCGACCCTGCGCCTCATCGTCCAGGTCCTTCTGCTGCAGGAAGTACATGTTGGTGATGCCCAAACTGTGTGGTTCCTGGTAGTAGCCCTCATCCGAATTCCATTTGTTCTCCTTCACATCACAGTTGCATGATTGATTCGGGTCCACGCACGTCTTGTTCACGGAACACGGGCAGGCGCCTCTGACAGGAAAAAGAGTTGAAAGATATTTTAAGAAAAAAAAACCAGCGCCACGCATACATTTGCATGTATTTGAGACGCCGCTGTCGACAGAGCTGCCGGCAATTTGACGAGTCCACTCTAAATGAAGGTTCGGGTTCGATTTCCTTTGGCAATTCATGCTCGGCATTTTTGTGTGTGGGCATATTGTGTGCTAGGCGACGTTTGTCGCATGATAATTGCTTGAAGCGTAGCTCGGCTTTTGTGTGCTTTGCCTTTAATTTGATAAAGTAACCGCACAGCTGCAGCTATTGTTTACCTCTGTAAAAACAATACAGAGTATAGCTATAAGCCAAAACATTGCTCGACTTTGTTGGTTTTTTGGTGGTCTGCTTTTGGCTCGTGTGTGTGCGGTTTGCAATGCATGTGCCACATCCGTTTCCGCTTTGGCTGCTTCCACAGCCAGGACGAGGGACGACGGACCACAGCTAACAAACAAACAAACGATGCTGTCAAATTTTGAATGAGTAAAGACCAAACTACGATCCAATGATGGATGGCTCAATGGGCTGCCTGCCCGCAAACGCACAAGTTGAGCCAACAGCAACAAAAAATAAGAGAGGAACTGCAAGCTAACTCGTTTTTTGTATACCCTGTACGCAATGCAAGTGAGTTAAAGTAGGGGTATATGCGTGTGTGGAAAAGTTTGCAATAAGCTGAAATATGCTTTCACGATCTGGTGAAATATATTTAAACTTGAGCAGGACTATGAGGACTTGCACAGTTCATCTGCCTCTATGTCTGTCGGCATATCTACATAACTCTATAAAAAATATATATCGGTTAAATATGGAATATTCTTGTATATTAGATGTCAAATGAGTTTGTGTTTTCTTGTCTGCTTGGACAACACTTTCTATGGAGAAAGTGTTGTGTGTTGTGAAAGTGTTTTAAGGAGAGAAATCAATCGAGTATAAAGACAGAGAGGCTATGTTTGGTATTGAGGTTATTGTAGGGCATACTCAGATCAAGAATATTTACTTTATTTTGGTATCTAGCTACACTTAAACACAAAATCAATAGGCACAGTCCTGAATTTTGGCATACACACATATTTTAATGCTATTTGTTAGCTCCGCAAGTTTTATAGGGATAGGACAATAAGCATAGAACTTATTAAAGCTCTTGTTCTATTTGCTGGGTCTTTGGGAGAAAAGAAGCGACAATGTCTGCTACAGACCTCTCGTTACAGGATAACTGCTAGTCGAGCAAGCTACAGTTTCCCTTCATTTTTTTGCTGCTGCTTTTCCCAGACTTATGGCTCGACTGTATAAACACGCACTCTCCCTCACACACACACACACACACACACACTAACAAATTTTGGTTTGGAATTGTGCTAAAACGCATTTTGATATTTCTGACTGTAGCCAAGCAGAAAGCCATTCGTTCAAAGCAGTTGCACAAAAAAACAAAACAACAGCCAAAAAAAGGAGTGTACGAAAATAAAAATAAACTTAAAAGAATCGAGTGCTATTTAGGCTCCAGAATTGATTTACCGAAAGCGGAAATTAGTGACGCAGACCGAACCGAACCGAAGCAGCAACTGGAAGGAGGGGAGGAAAAAAAACCCAACTGGCAGCAGCTGTTGCCTACTTTGCTGCGCATGATGTATTGTCAAAGTGCTAGAGGAGTGCCATCCCTGAACCCCGAGCCCCGAACCCTGAACCCTTTGGCCGCCCGCTAATACCCTTTCGACTCTGCTGGAGCTTCGCAAAGAAATTAGGCGTAAAGACTAAATTTGTGCACAAAGTCATTCATTTTAAAAAGGCCGCCCATAAGAAAAATTATCCAGCAAAAGTTGAAAAAGAGTTGTTCGACAATATGGCAACAGCGCACACACACACACCAACACACACACACACGTGGCTACACAGATGGGGCTACAGATGAGCGAGGCTCAGTCATAAACCTTATTAGCGCTGAGCCGGAAACATATTTGCCCGACATAAATACAACTCAGCCTTTTATGCCCACGCACACGCACACACAAATCTGCAGCTGTGTGTGTGCGTGTTTATGTTTTGCTCTTGTTTTCGCACTTTTGCAATTTTGTATTTTCATATGTTTTACTTTGGTATTTGCCATAAATTTTTTCGTGCCCCTCTATATATATAGAACTTCCAATGCGTTGGGCATAAAAGTTTTGGGCTCCGTGTTGTTTTTCAATAAAAAAAAAATAGATATGTTTTTATGTGAGCTAATAGCTGTTTAGCTTTTAAGTGACTTCCATTGATTCCTTTCCAATTATTAATAAGCTATATCAGTAAAAATAGCTTTGAACTCAATGGACGTAAGACTTAAGTGCTAAGAATTTCAAAGGAGACATGTATTTATATAAATATAACTGAAGTTGCATTCAAAAAGTATGCTAAAGGTATGAATATCTAAACTATATCTATCTATATCTGCTTGGTGACGAAGAATCAGCCTAAAGCTTCTTTTGGGGTTGAAAGTAAGCTTGGCCTTGGAAAATTCTGGAAAACGCTGGTCAATTTTGGTAGAAAAAGCAATAAAATTATTCTTTTTATACGAGACAGCATGAGACTGCGTGGCTTTTAATGCCAATTTGTTTATTTCAATTGTTGTTATTCACAAAAAAGAGCGAGAATAATAAATGAAAATAAATTGGAAAATTACAACTAGATTGAAGAGCGCAAAAGGCTAAGCGTCGGCACGTTGAGCGCAAATTATTGGGATCGAATCCCCGGGCGCAAAAAAAATATATTTTTTAAAATTTCAATCAAGAAATAGGTGTTCTTTTAAGGGGAAATATTTGAATGGCGAATTTGCGAATTATATAAACTGTCGGGTTTCGTCTTTGCACTTTCATATTTCATATTTTCAATAATATTTGATCCACACAACGTCGGAAAATATATTTAAACTATAATGAATTTTCAATATTTACATTTAATTGTTTTTGAAACAATTTAATAAATGAGCTTGCATGTTTTTATAAACCAGTAAATGTTAAAGAGAAAATGTTTTAAAAAGTCATAAAAAAAGAATCATATTCCCATCTGTTTTTTTTTAACTAAAAACTACTTGTCAAAGCTAACCCTTCTATAGAACTTTCCCGAGAATTTCCAAATAAGCCTTCAATTAAAGTATAAGCAAAATATTTGTTAGGCTCGTGAAAGGGTAGCTTTAATTCGGCCATTAAAAAGCTGTACGGTTTATGCAACATTCGGTTGGGCTTTCGGCGTCATAAAATGTTATGCTCCAATGAATAGAAACAAATGCCGCACACACACACATAACTTAGCCAATGGGTTTTGCAGTGGGCGGGGCTGAGGGGCGGTTGCGTGCGCTAAGAAGTAGGCAACAGTTTTGTGCGTGCACATATGAAAAATCAAATTTCAAAAGATGAGCCAACAGCAGCAGCAGCAGCAGGCGGTCACTCGATGCTGGACGAGCAGCAGGCCAAGCAGCATGACAAATTACGCAACAGTCACACACACGCACACACACATTCACAGTGGCATGACAATTGTGGACATGGCTTGAGAGTTGAGCCCGGGTTGCAGTTGCAAGTTGTTGTTGCAGCTGACACAAATGTACGCAAATCGAAGCAATATGAAAGTGACTCGCTTTGTCTATCTCACTGTCTGTCTCTCTGTCTGTGTGTGTGTGTGTGTGTGTGTGCCTCAGGTCTGTGGGCTGCCTTCCCGTGTGAATAAATATGTCAGTTAGCATTAAGTGTAGGCCCAGGCGCCTATATTATGCATGTTCGAGCAATTAATTTAAGTTTCGTTTACATTTGAAATGCCAACGATGGGTTGTCCAGGGGGCTGCAGTAGGCCTCCTCCAGCTATCAACTAACCGACTGCCCAGTTGCCCAACTGCCCAGCTGCCCAACTGCCAGCAGTTTGAAATGAAGGATTTATACTGTTGGATTACCGCACGTACACACTGAGCGGGCGAGCTGGCCACTGGAGCAGAACGGGCCACACAATGCACAGTGCTAGACCAACAAGTTAAGCAAATAGACTGCAACATTAATTGTGTGGCATGCGGTGCACCGAGGGGAGTGGCAACAGTAGCCACTGAAGGGGTGAGGGCGGGGAGGGGGTCTAAAGGTGGGGTACCGCGTTCCCGAAACGACTTGTGCATAGAATTGGACATAGGCCGAGCTGGCACAGTGGGCGAGCGGGCAATTATGTTGGAGTTCAATTTCAGATGGAAACAAATTCGATTATAAATCAAATATGAGAGGTCTGTTCTCAAGGCTAATTATTCTCAAATTTAACGAGGTGCACTTATATAGTCTTTTTGGCCCACTGTGCACACACTTTAAATAAAATGTATCTAAAATTCTGACCTAAAGTTGCATTTGCGAACATAAAAATATTCTTTCTGTCAGAAGACTTCGTACAGTATATTCCATACCTTGCTTTTTTGACCCACTGTCCTTTCAGTGTTGACTGAATATCTGTTTACAATATTTTATACCCTTTGCCCACTGTCCAATGCGAAATTCATTATATTGAAATATGCTTAATAAGTCAATCTTTTTATAAAAACATTTTTATCAATATTGCGAAGAACTAGAATTTTTTACTCACTGCGCATGTATTTGTAAAAATATGTAGAAGATAGATGCACTGGGTTTTTATTTTGGTCAAAGGAAAGATCTTGAGGATGATTTATTCTACTCGATAATTTGCCTTTTCGGCCCACTGTGCAGCCATTTTCAAATATGAACCAAATACAGAAATAAATGCTAGATGCATATCAGCAAAAGTTATTTAAATATAAATATACTTGTTTTTTTGTATTAAATATTTCCTTTTTGGCCCACTGTGCAGAAATTTTGAAAATATGTGTATCTAAATTCATAAACAAATGCAAAAGTAATTTAAGCAAAAGCTCTTCATATTTAAATGTAGTCAATAAGTTATTGCAATATTTTGCTAATTTGCCCCACTGTGCGCTGTGCAAATTGGTGTCACGTAAATTACAAATGCCACGCACTTGACAGCTGAGTAGCTTAAAATCGCTTACCTCTTGACATTGCCGAGAAAGTCGACAGTGAGATTCTTGGCCGACGATGTAAACCAAGTGGCCGAGTGCAGCTCCAGCTGGGCGCGATAGCAATCATATTTGATGTACTGTGTGCAGTAGAGCGAGTGCGAGATCAGCTCTTGCAGCATATGCGGGGAGAATTCTCTGTAGCGAATGTTGAAGCTGAAGTCGGTTTCGCGGGCGGAGCGCACATCCACCTGGCTGGGCAGATTGTGCTCGACAATGGTCTTGGTGGCGTTCTCCAGGCTCTGAAAGTCGCACTTGACGTGGGCGGGCGGAAAGACGCCGTTGCCATCGATGTCAATCAGATAGACATCGGACTTGGTGAAGCCCAGCAGGGCCAGCTCCTCGCAGGTCTTGCGGTACTTGGTGAAATGGCAATTCTTGCCAATGTAGCCCGTGTGCTTGCAGTCGCAGGTGACGCGATCGTCCTTCACGAAGCACTTGCCGCCATGCTCACAAGTATTCGGCCGCTTGCAGGGATCAATGTAGTTGCAATTGTCCAGCGCCACCTCGCCCACGACGCGCTCCGTCTTGACCACATGCCGCGGCTCAATCAGATGCCCATTGATCTCGATGTCCCGAATGCAGCCCACCAGGCCCATCGCCGCCGACTTCAAGCTGCTGCCAATAATGAGTTTGTCGCCAATGTTAAAGGTCAGCCCGAACATCTGGCTGAGCGTATGGCGATAGTCCACCGTAAATCGTATCTCGCCCTGCTTATAGTCCAGCTCGACGCTGTGCCAGGAGGTCGCGCGATTGATTTTAATGGTCGTCGAGTGGGTTATATTGTTGTTGACATCGGGCACCAGATCGAAGCTCAGCTTGTCTGAGCTTAAACGTATCTGTGCGTGTGGGGGCGGGTGTTGGCCAGCGGCAGCCATTTTGTAATTTCCGTTAGTTTTACATTTCCGGCGCAACGTTATCGACAGCCGTAGTTGTTGCAGTTGTCAGCGACGGATGTTGCACGTTGTGCAGGTGCAAGGCCCAGCATTAGCATGTTGCCAAATATTAGTTTTGTCATCGCAATCGCAAACGCAGCACATGTTAAATACACACACACACACACACACATGGAGAGAAAAAATACAAAACTCTGTTAGCATTTGGAGTTCAAACTGGAAAATAAATCAAAATTGCCAAAATGCCCATAAAATACACACGCTCCCGCACACACGCACACACACACACTCGCACACACACACACACACACTCACACACACACACTCACACACACATATTTGAATTTGTGAAATGCCTTTGTGCATTAGCAGCGCTTAAATCATATTACGCATACGCCGCGTAGTCGCACAGAATACATCAAAGCGGCATCAAATGCGGGCCTGTTAAATTGTTAGCCAGCAACAAAATGAGTCAAAGGGGGGCGGGAAGGGGGGAGGGCGCGGCTAGTGCCATTTATGACACGCTCAATTCCCATTAGAACTAATATGACGCCCGCTTTAGCTCCCTCTCCCTCCCCCGTCACGCTCTTTATATGAATAAAACTGCATAATTGTGCATAATTTATGTGTATATTGCTTTATTTAAGCCCTGGCATTAAGAGTTTCAGCCATGTTTATAACTCTTCTAATAGCATTTTTGTAATTTCCGTTCAAATGGGTCAATTTGTGTTTATCTGTGAATTGCGTACGCTTGGTGCGTGTGTGCACCATGCCACCAATTGGTGCACAGTTGCCGAAATTCTTTTATTACTTTATTTAATTTAAATGCATTTAAATGTAACGCTTTTCTAAAAAGTGTAGAATTTGTATCGCAATTACTGAATTTGGTGAGGTTATATTGAACAAGTAAGAGGTTCTAGTCGGAAGCTCCCGATTAGGGGATACCCTGAACCATCTTCATCCAACAGGCGATAGGTATAAAATGAAAGATACTTGATATATATATATACTATTCTAGAAGCTACATGTCAAGTTTGGTGACTCTAGCTCATTTTATTGGCCGAAATTGCTAAAAAAAAAAAAAAAAACAGAATTTCGATATTGATTTTTATCGATTACTTGGAAACGGGGCAAGTTATCGATCTGCGCGGGCACTAGGAGGACCTACAGCTATGTCAAGTCTCTCAAGTCTCTAGCTCTTATAGGTTCTGAGATCCTTGCGTTCATACATACGGACAGACGGACATGGCTAGATCGAATCGGCCATTGATGCTGATCAAGAATATATATACTTTATGGGGTCGGAGATGCTTCCTTCTGCCTGTTACATACATTTGAAAAAATACAATATACCCTGTTTACCCATTTTTAAATATCCGGGTTAGCCAAGATATTAAATATATATTTTAATTTTCGACCGAATCTCCGAATAGAGGTGTAAATGCCCGGGTTAGTCTAAATAACTTTATAAACAAGAAAGTTTTTCATACAAAAACTAAACTTTCGCCCCATTGTTCTTATGGCTATATGATATATGTAATCAGTCCGATGTTGATCAGCTTTTGCCTATTTGTGAGGAGTATAAAGAAATTACTAGTAGGCTGGCTTGGCCAAGATCTCTTGAAGTCTTAAAAAAATTTCTTCGTTCAAAAACTTAATTTTCGAGCGATCTTTCTTATGACGTCTATATCTATAGTTTTCCAATATATGCTGACCCCTCTAACATATCAAAAAAATACAATCAAAGCGAAGTAATTTTAACTATGGCATTGTAAGCCTATTTGTATATGGTCACTTGTAAGCCTTATGCCTGCTAGAGTATTTAGTCTTTCTTTGCCTTCTTTTTTCTGTACAGATAAATTATTTTAATTATTATTATTTAAAGCTTCTTGCAGCGCGAAAAACTGGTTCTATTGTGCACCCCCTCTCTCTCTGTTCACTCTATCATTGAATTCAAGATCTTTTTCCCATCTAAATGCTTGCATAAATTCACAGAATATGCCCTGTCTAACAGCCCCCAACTCTGATTAAGACTGAGTCTTAAATAGGGAGCAAGTCTCAACGTACTGAAGCTTCCCAAAATGTGCTCTGGCATCTGAAACTTTTCTAGACAGGATCTGTAGGCTGTATCATCCATAATTGTCGGCTTTTATTAATACTTGCAGAGCATCTGCAATGCCTTGTAAGAAAGTTTGAGATGATCCGTAGAGAGCATTTGCTCACTTGCCCAAATTCAGCTGTTTATTCTCTTCCCATCAAAGTCGTAGTCGTTTTTTCTGTCAAGCTCTCTGAGCTGTTTCCCAAAATGCCTCACTCACTTATCGGGTTGCAGATGAAAACCTCTTTTATTTTATGTCACGTAACGTGTCAGTATTTGTTTGCCCATATCCCCGAGTAATACGACAGCTTTCATGCATTGTACATAAAATAGTGGAAAAAAAAGAATGGAATTAAATTTAACTTGTTTGTGCTCATATTGAAGACGTACGACCCGCATGTGCGATTGGCCCGGAATTGCACATATTCGTATTCGTTATTTATTTGCTTTTATTTACCCGCTGCTTATTGTGAATTGCGCTTTTGCGCCACGCCGCGCTGCGCTGCTGTCGCGCTTATGCAAACTGCCAAACACTAAAATTTTATTGCATATTTCATTAGACTTTTGGCAGCGTGTTATATTTTAAAGCAAATACCACACACACACACACACACACACACAAGCGCTCACTCGCACATACACTGACAATATTTCAAATGGTTTTTGTACCATATGGAAAATGGTTAAAGGGGGTAGATTGTTTCTTGGTAAGTGAAGGAGAAGGAGGCAACTCTGACCCTATAAAGAATATATGTTCTTGACCAGGAGCAGGAACTGGGGCGATTCTGGCATGTCTCCTTGTCTGTCCGTCTGTGTCTGAAGTGCTCGATATCGGGAATTATAAGAGCTACAGATTGGAAATTGGAAATTTAAATTCTGCTATACGACATGCAGACCAAGACATATACACCAAACTTCTTATATGGGTTCTCGTATTGTATATAAATAAGATAAGGTATATTTTACGTCGTTGATACTTCCCACATGCTCCCAAAACTTGAAGAAAGCTCTTTTCTAAACGTGGAGCGCCTGCTCTTTGGTATGCAAACACTTTCTTATGCCATTTATAAGCACTCAAAGTTTTATAAAGATCGGACTATAAGCACCGAAGTTAATCAAGCAAGGATTACCCAAGTATAGGTCAGGAGTAGGAGGAGAAGAAGGACAGCAGAACATAAAGTGCTTGGCTTGCATTCGTGTGTGTTTGTTTTTGTGTATAGCAGAAATTTGGAATGTTTTCAATGGCAGCAGGGCATCTCCTAGTCGTTCACTGCCCACTAGAGCAAACTTGCTTGTTATTTGTCGCCTCGCTGTTGTTGCTGTTGCTATTTGACTATTTCGACCATTTGCTGCGCGACTGTCAATAAATTCGATTTTCGATTTGTGATTCACGATTTGCGATTTGTGCGGGCGGAAAGTTTTTATATACATATATAGGCCCAGCTGTCCCGCTGTCAATTATACGAGCTGACATTTTGTGTTGCCTACTTTTTTGGGGGGAGGGGGGATGGCCCCAGAAGAGAATTTATTAGTTTGCTAAACGCTGCTGCGCAAATCGCAGGTGGTAATTTTGTGGCCAGTTCGACAAACAGTAAATATATAAATAAATAAATAAAATGCGCAGCAGATGCGTTTTTCAGAAATGAAATATAGATCAATATGTTGTTGGATTTGCGATGAAACGAATACTTAAAACACAACATTTGGCAATTGCAATTTGTGCCCCAGAAATATATATATATATATTATTAACATTTTCTGGCATATGTGCAATCAATTTCGTATTAATTTTGCGACCACACATAAATCGCCCGGCAATTTCAATAAGCCAAAAAGCCAAATGGCAAATTAAACGGCTTTCAAGCATAAATATTCATTGCTATTACATTTAACGAGATGGCCAGCAATTTGTTTTTCCACAAGCTCCGAATACCCTTCCCTTCCCTGCCCGACTTTTCGGTCCCCCCTTTCAGGTCGTGAGGCATTTCTATTGACATTTAAGTTTATTTTCGGGGGACTTTGCAATCAAAAGCAAGAAAGTCAACAATAAAATGCAAATAAATATTGCAGATGCACACACACACACGTATGCATTTGTATTGTGTGTGTGTGTGTGTGTGTGTGTGCTTGTGTTTTGTGTATATATTTATTCCCTTAGTGAATTTCCAAAATGTCAAGTAACCAAATAAACGTTCGAGGCCAGGACGTTTGTTTGTTTAAATATAGATAAATGCCACTGACATTTAAACAAACACACACACACACACACACGCACACTTCACTTGCATAATCAAGCATATGCATGTATTGTGTATGTGTGTGTGTGTGTGTGTGGCAAGTAGCTCTGAGCTGCTGAAGTGGGCATTTTGGGCGGACGTTGCACGTTGCACGTTGAGTGGCATTAAGCTGCTGAGGCCAGTTTCTGTGGCCAGCAATAAAGCACTTTTCAATGCAACGCATTCGTTGGCTTTGCGCAATTTCGATTGCGCAATCATAATAAATGCATCATATTTTTATTCAAATTGTTGCGTCAAAGTCATAAATCTATTCAGGAAGAAAACAGAAGAGCCGGAATGACAAGCACATTTAATATTTAAGTGGGACAGGCAGATGAGGGAGAGAGAGATAGAGAGTAAGAGAGAGGGAGATAGAGAGTGAGAGAGAGCGAGAGAGCGAGAGAGGAAAGAGAGAGGGAGAGGCAAATGGAGAGAGTCAAAGAGAAGCAAAGAGAGGGATAGATCAAGTTGCTGAGCTACGTTTTCTGTAAAACAATATATGCTGACAATATTTGTTGGAGTAGGAAATTCTAGTTCATTTTGTTGATTCGTTTAATTCCTTCGGTCATATTCGACACGTGAACCAAATCGTCCCGTTTTTTTAACTAGTTCAGTTGATCATAAACGATATTTTCCGCCTAGCAACTGGTTTAGTTGACCATGAACGATTCCTTATGTTGGGAACGATTCGTTTTGCTCCGACTAAAAACTGAACGAGTTAGTTAAATGAAGAGTTCACAAATCACTGAACTAGTTCAGTAGCTCAGTAGTTCATTTAAGTGACCCGTTCATTCGAACTTATTCTGAACGAAGCATCGAAACTCCAATATTGGGCCTTAATTTATATACAATATTGGGCCTTAATTTATATACGATCAAGAAACTTTAACTGAGCTATCTGAACTAAACAAGTTTTCCAATATATTTGCAAAAAAGGCTCAAAAATAAAAATGTTATAACCAAAATATAACCAAAATATCAAAAGCACACTGATTAAGGAAATTCTAAATTAAATGTAAAATCAAAAGGCGAAACTCTTTTGCTAATGCTGAAAGTGTCCTTGCTGGACGCATGTTTCCTTGCTTGACGCTTGTAATTCTCAACAAGTTAAAGTTTCGAAGTGGGGACAAGGCGCTTGCAATTGTAGAGACAACAGCAAAGTCTGCTATAGATAGAACTGGGAGGATTATGTAAAGGGTTCTAAACGCATCTAAACGCATAGATATAAAATTTAAAGCAACTGTTTTTTTATGTAGCCCAGTTAATTTTGCATATCATTCCCTTGGCACCAGACATCTGATGCTTTTACTTTTCACATTTGATGCTTTTCTCTGAGGAGAAACTGTTTTGGGGAATGTTGCTGCAGAAATTTTGCATGCTTGGCTCGTTCGCACGCCCACGCACGCACACAATCGCATTCACACACACACACAGACACACACACACACACACTCATGCACACATGCACACACAGACACACTCGACGTATGTACATTTGATTTGCATTCCGCTTGGCCCCAAAACATCGTTTGCTAAGTCGTCTTAAGCACACGCTGCACATTGCTGTCGCTGTCGACGTAGACGTCAACATCAACTTGGTCCCACCCTGCAACGTCCAGTTCACACACACACACACACGCACACACCCACTAAAACACCCACAGACACACACTGATGTGTGCATTTCATAAGCTGGCGAATATATGCTTGAATGCTTCAGCGCACACTTACCTCCCAGAAGCCATTTCCGGCGCTGGTCGTGACGTCACTGTAGGCCAGCACTGCGCCGGGTCGGCTGCTGCGGAAATCGAATTTAATATTAAATTCTTGGGCGTGATTTATGGGCCACCAAATGTGTGATGTCGCAAAGGGATAGGTGATGGGTATGACATTCACTTCGTTCTCAAAGAATTCAGCCTCCAGGACACCTGCAACGAGCGAATGTTAACTCTCAAAATCACTTGGCAAAAAATGCCAAAAAAAAAAAACGCAAGATAAAAATTACATATTCGGAAAGCCGAAAATTAAATACCCTTGCAGATAGATTGCAGTTTTCTTAAGAAAGAGATTTTATGGGAATGCAAATGTGACCCTTTAAGAAACACTCGAACGTCATCCGGATCAAAAGTTGCTTATGCCAGGCATATAAAAAGCTACCCAAATTCCCACCTCTTTCTATTTTGGAAGAATGTTGCTAGATTTGAACCAGCGACTTCTCTTTTGTTAGCCCGACGCAAAGACGGTCAGTCAGGTATGTGTAATTCACTGTAATACTACAGACATATTAAAAGTCACCTAAATTGCCAGTCTCTTTTGACAACTGCTGCTGAGTTTGAACCAGCGACTTCCCGCTTGTTAATCCTACGCTAAAACAGGCAATCAGATATGTGTAATTCCCCAACTTCAGATACATGAAAGCCATCGAAATCGTTGCCACACGTTTATTTTCAAAATTGCTGCTAGATTTGAACCAGCTACTTCCCGCTCGTTGGCCCGACGTTAAGACAGTCAGTCAGGATAAGCTTTTTAATGTAAAAAAAAAGGTAGTCCGATGTTCATAACATCCAATTATTTTCTAGAAACCGCTTCGAGTCCGGAATGCCAATATTATTTTTAACTATAAACGTTGCACATGATATGACAAAATAGCTATGTCCTCTGTTAGGGTATCAACAGACATGTCACAGACAAATCACAGCAGTTTTTTTCAGTTTGCAGTTTGTCTGAGCTTGAATATAACATTTCTCACATAGATCCCCTCGCAACCCTTCCCTCAGCTTCGCCCTGACAATACTCACCATGATAGTGCACCTTGGGATTGCCGCGCTGCAGCTCGTACAGTATGGAAATGTCATTGTAGTAGACATACTTCAGGCTGCCCACAAAATTGTTGTGCGAGATGAGGCCCTTCTTCTTGTTTAGTTCGGGTCCGCCGCCAAAATAGATTTCCGGATCGAACAACAGATTACCGCTAGCCGTCGCCGGCAGCTCCAGGATCTTCTGCTGATGATCGAGTATGATTCGTACGGTGCGCTGCTCGTGCAATATGGTCAGATTGTGCCAGTAGCCGCGTGTGAGGTCATCCGTTAGCACCGTGGACATGACATTGTCGCCAAAGTCCATTTCCACGTGAATCGATTGATTCTTAATGGCGGCGGCAATATACTGATGCTTCAGCGACTCGCCGCTGGCATAGAACAGCGCCGAGTCATCAAAATTGGTGCGAAAAACCAGACTGATGCGTATTGTCGAGGAGTGCACCCGATCCTTCCAGTCGTAGATGCGATACGAAACGTAGCTGGCGCCTCGCAGCGTAATTATTGTGGCAGCTAGAAGAGGGAGAAGGGTTTTTATTGGAGAGAGAAGAGAACTAGGCTGGAGAGCATACAGGGCTTAAACTTTAAGGGAAATTATATTACACTTAAATTGAGATGTTTTGCTGTCCGACCTGGAGATACCCCGCAAGCTGCAACAGCTGAGCTGATTAACTTAGAGAGTAAACTGAAGTGTGACAGATTGGGAGAAATGTCTTTCTATAACTCTTCATTAATTATATTCACTTATTCATTTTATTCACATTTATATTATTCATATATATATCATTCCCTCACAAATCAAGCAACCTTTTCCGGTCGAATTCAGGCGCAAATAAATTGCCTGGGCACAAAACCCTTTAAAACTTTTGCACTCTCTCACTTAGTTCAGCTGTTGGCATATTTGCAACTGGGCTGCCATTTGGCGAGCTCGCAGCTTACCGCAAAATCCAAGCAAATTTAAGCAACTTTTCGGTGACATTTTTTTTGTTTGTTGGTGCGGCATTGTTCTTGCTGCATTATCTGCATGACACACACATATACACACAAAAAAAAAAACGTCGAGTGGCGGCACGGAAATAGATTATATTGTTTGGACCATGACTGTGCTGGCCTTTAGGCGTTTATGCGCGGCTCTGCTCTTCCCTCCCGCAGCCACACACCACCTCGCCGCGCCGCATCGCTACTTCAGTCCCGCGGCGAGTGCGAAAGTGCAAATCGTATAGTGTGCTTTTATACCCATTGAAATTGGCAGAAAGGGTATAAGGGTTAGGAGAGAGCTCTGATCCCATAGATAAAATATGTTCATCAGGACGAGCTGCTCATGCTCACAAATTGATCTAGCTATGTTTGTCTGTATGAACTAATTACCTAGTTTATTCTTATCGATATACTGTCCGATTAATCCATTAATATCGATAAATATCGATTTATTGACATGGCTTTCTACACCAAACTAAGTAAGCTGGTAGACACAGTGTAGGAATGTTTCATTTTTTAAATTTCTGCCCACATTTGCAGCAAAATTGAACAGTACGATATTTAGAGAAGCAGATCCCTGCGCTTTGATATATAAACACTTTTGTATGCCATATTTAAGCCCTCAAAATTTCATAAAAATCGGACTATGAAGACCGAAGCTATTCAAGCTGCTTTTTTGTATGTTAAGTATGTTATGTATGTTATATATTTTATGTATGTTGTTTATGCTATGTATATTGTGTATGCTATGTATGTTATGTATGTTATGTATGTTATGTATGTTATGTATGTTATGTATGTTATGTATGTTATGTATGTTATGTAAGTTATGTATGTTATGTATGTTATGTATGTTATGTATGTTATGTATGTTATGTATGTTATGTATGTTATGTAGGTTATGTATGTTATGTATGTAAAGGAAGCTGGAATGTTTGTAACAGCAGCTGAGTGCAGGGTATCTCCTAGTCGGGCACACTACCGACTAGAGTACTCCGTTTTTTTGGGCTCGTTCGCACCGCTGTGTGACAGCAAAATGCTGTCCGCTTATCTGACACATATTCGCGCACACGCCCACCCACACGCCCACACACACACACACACACACACACATATACACAGACACACGTGAGAGGCGGGCACGCCCAGTCGATAACGCAATGCAGGCATACTTTATAATTTTTATGGTGGGAATTTGGCGGAAATGTGTGCGCAGTGGCGCAGAAAAGTATGCTACAGATTTTGAAATCTCAGTGGACACTTTTCGGGGCCACAGGAGACGCCGCCTCCGCCGCCGCCGCAGTCGCTGCCGCTGCCACCATGATTGCTAGAGCAATCCACATTTGACTACCTCAATACACTGCTTGAGCTTGCCGCCCTTGGTGCCAAACTCCCGGCAGATCTCGAGCAGGCGAAAGCCCCTGAGCACCCGACCGAAAATAACCCGTTTGAGCGGCATCACCGCCAACGTCTTAAAGCTAATCGTATAGAGCAGCAGGCCATGGGGGAAACTCTGGCGATGGCTCCAGGAGTACGATAGAACGCCCTTCAGCTGCCTGGCATCCAGCGGTGATGGATGATCGTGATGATTCTCGAGGGCATCGCGTGAATGCGGCAACAGCTCGCCCTCCATCCACAGATCGGGAAAGACGCGCTGGAATTTGTGCGCCCCGACATTGTTGTCGATGGCCAGGCGCACAAATTCCAGCACCACCTCCGGACTGACCTCTGTGTAGAGCTGAATGCAGATGCGGCCCAGATGCTGGCCCCGGTGCAAGGCCAGATCAAAGTAAATGACCGGACGCAGCATCTCCCTGGGCGAGTGCACGGGCTTTCGGGGCAGGGGCGTCGGCATATATACGCTATATTTGCGCACCAGTTCCTCGGTGGGATCGGACACCGTGACGGACAGTGCTGTACGCCAGGGATTGTGCGAGTCCACCTTGGATTTGACGCGCAACAGCCGGCAGCCCAGCCGATGATTCTCTCGGCTAAGCACCGCTGCCTGCTGCTCAATTCTGTGGCGACTCGGGCGCGTTAATTGGAAGCTGCTGTTGAAGCAGTCCACGCGGCCCTGCACCCGCTGGATCTCGTTCATGCGGCGCAACAGTATCATGTTGTTGCGCAATATATTCTGCTTTGTCTCCAGGCCCTTGTTCATGTGCTGGTAGTCCAGCTGGTTTGTGCGATTTTCCGGCGACAGTCGCGTATTCAGCGTCGACTTGATGTTCTTTAGGAAATTGCGATCCATTCGCCGCCGATGCAAATCGACCAGGCTGTCGTAGACGCCAACCTGTCTGGTCTCAACCGCCTGGCTGCTCCCACCGTGCACGGCGCCCACCAGCTGCTTGAACTCGCCGTAGTTGGGCCGCCGGGTTTCGGGCAGCGTCTGCCTCACTTGCTCGCCGTGCCGGAGCAGGCCGCTGGCCAATTGATGGGCACGCATTCGACGGCTTCGGGTCGTGGGCGCCCTCAAAGTGAACTCCGAGTAGGTTATCGGGCGGAAGATTAATGTATTCATCCTTACAATTTGCGATATCAATTCAATTGGAAAGCAGCAACAACAAAAAGGGAAAATGAAAACAATTACGAATTGCTACAAAATGTTGACGCACAACTTTGGCCAACTTTGACCTGGCGCCGAGCTTGTGCATGCCGCAAAAATCTCTTCGACTGACATTTGCTCTCCGGATTCCAGAGTTGCCCAACTGGCTGAAACTGAGTTGTCAACATGCATTAAAGGGTATATCTTGAACTGAAATTGATATAGTCTCCGTTCTGTGTATAACAATGACATTTGTATACCCTGTACTCATTCAGAATGTGTGAAGGGGAGTATGTTGGAGGCATATGCGACCCGATAAAGTATATATAAATGCTTGTCCAGCCTTCACAGTCGAGTCGAGCTACTCTTCTCTCTTTTGACCCTCTGCCTCTCCCTGCGTCTATCCACATGCATTATATTCATATCGTTCAGACGAAAAGTATTTCAGTTATTTAGAAATGAATTTGTCAAAGTCTCAAGTTAGGTCTAGAAGAAGCACAGCTGCTGCACGGCTTACTTAGAACAGCTTGGCATAAGTCTTGTAAAGTTTAAGTTACAGGGTATTTGCCAATCGAGCCCTGCACAAGCAGCTGTTAATCAGCTTTAAGCTCGTTAAAGGCATTATTTCACAGTCTGCATTTTTGGCTGCTCGGTCTGCTCGGCAACTTGACTGTCAGCCGACTGACAGCTGAACCAGAGTTGAGTTGAATGGCGACCACGTTTGACAGCAACACCACAGGCCGGGCCTGTGATTCCATACGGCTTATGCTGGACGTTGCCAAAAAACAAGAGCACACACTCGAAAAAAAAAAACAGCAACAAAAATCTGGCAGACTCTTGCACAGAATTTCATGGCTGGGCTAATGATTTTCACGCTAGTCGCATTTCGTTGGCACATTGAAGGGGAATGGTAGTAGGGGAAGGTCTGTGAAAGGAGGGAGGAGGGGAGGGGCAGCCTGTCGGCTGTCATTTTAGTTATTGCATTACAGGGACCGAACCGTCTGCGTTTGATTATGTCGCACATGCATGTTTCTACCTACGAGGCAGCTGTGAACCGCGCGCTTTTAATGGCCCGACACTGTTTCCGCTGCAAGTACAACCGAAATGTTGACAACTGCAACATGCAACTAACGACAACCGGTCCTCGGCGTTGGGCCTGCTGCCGAGCCGTAAACCGTGCGGCAGGTTCATGCTCGCAGACAACATCTGTGCAATTTGCTAGCACTTGCCAGGTCTCTCTCCCCTCTCCCTCTGGTTGTAATTGTGATCAACTGTAAATGCTCGACAAACTCGCACGTCACGACGCCATTTGTCCTTGACAGACGCCATTTAGAGAGCGCATTTCCAAAATGGCTGCCACATGCCGTTAGCCCTGCCAGCAACTGTGCAATTTGCAGCTGTCCATTGCCTCAATTCGCGTTTTCATTAGTTTTTACACTTTTTTTTTGCAATACTCAGTTCAACAAAATTAGAAAGTGGGCATATCCGCTTGCCAGCCCGAGATTAACCTCTTGGCTTACAAAGTGTGCAGACACGCCCACGCACCAGTTTGAGAGTCACCCATGCCCTGCAGTTACAGTTTGGGAGTCCTTAATACTCTGTTTTCAGCTATTATAATCCTCTGAACAGAGTGTGCCGCGGACTTCTTCAACTTTTCTACTTGTTTTTTGTATACATTCGCATGAATTTCCATATTCATTAATTGTTTTTGCTTTTGTTGTTGTTCCACAATATTTGCATGCAAATTTGAGCTAAAATTTCAGACCGCAACCGAGCAGCTTTTTTGTGATACCCTCACATTCTGATCGGGGAATTAATAAATATATTAAATAGCTCTCTTTAACTGTACGTTCATGAATGTTAAATCAGGGCACACTCTGGACTATCTTTTAGTTAATTATGAGTATACAGTTTGTTATTAAGATATTTGTAAACGATTCAAATTTGTCTTTTGATTTGTTTTTGTCTTATACATTCTTTGATGAGAGTCTTAGTTTAACGATCGAATCCCTTTGAGGATAAAATATTTGTTTAATTTAAATTAAAATTAATTAATTTATCTATCAATCTAAAACAGTCGAGAAGTCAGCCCTGGTTACTTTCTTCTGTCAATAAATAATGCACCTCCTGAATATATAAATAAAGAAAAACCTCTTAAATCTTGTTACCGTTAAATAACAGTGCAACAATTTGAATTCGTTTAGCTTAAATATGTAGAGTATTTAAATAACTGCCCGGGCTCAGCCTGTAGAAAGTCCTACCAAAAAAAAAAATGTAACATAAACGAGCTGCTCAATTTTTAATGGCGTTGGCATTTTTAATGGGCTCGCGTGACTTAATTGGAATTATGGCGGCACGGAATTGGCTTTGTGTCATTAACTAAATGCCTGCCAAACTGGCGAGTGACAGCGCAGAGGGGGGGTGGGGTGGGGGGGAGTAGGTGTTGGTAGTTCAGAGTGTGACAAAGGCCAGTTAGTATATTTGAAGCTCAACAAACTAATTTTGCGCACATTTTGCCCGGCAGTCAAAAAGTCAAACACTATTTTGCATAATTTATGGTCAGGTCATTAGCGTGTTTAGAACTCCTGCGGGCTGTCGGTTCCCGGGCGGTTCCCCGGGGGAAGGGGCTGGCGGTTAACCGCAAGCAAACAAACATAGTTTATAATTAAAACAAAATGGCGCCGGCCTGGCCCCTATGCTCGACTCGGCCACAGTGTCTGGCCACAGCCAAACACATGCTCACTCAGAGAAAAAAGGCTGAGCGAAATTTATTTCTCGTTTTTGAATATTCGTCAATTGCGTAAAAGCTTCAGAGATGAAGCAAACGGATTCGAAATCGGAATTTTCTATTAAGTTTTTAACTTAGAATCATATTTGCTTTGATTTAAGAAGCTTTTGAAGGGATCTCTAGTTGGAAAGTACAAAAATCTTGAGCCCCAATCTTCTCATTTATCTAAACATATTTTCGTGAAGTCAATTTCGGATATAGCTTAGCTAAAGTCCGCATCGATCAATGGGAATTTTAACTCCTTCAGTAGAATAATTAAATAAAAAGTAACTCTGTGCCAATGGAAGATTTGAACCAGAAACAGCTCCTAGTTCAAAATTTTCTTGTTGCATGTTTAGTTTAAGTTAGTTTTTCTCAGAGTGTCTAAGCTTTTATCCAAACATATTTTCTAGAAGCCAATTAGTCCGTTTCCATCATATGGAAATATAAACTGTTTGATAAATAAAAATGACTGTCGAAGGTTTGAACCAGAAACAGAGCTCCTGGTTCAAACTTTTCTTTTTGGATATTTTTAGCTTAACTTAGTTTTTAGCTTTCACTTTCCATTTATCTAAACATATATTCTAGAAGCCGATAAAAATGACTAGGGAAGGTTTGTACCAGAAACACAGCTCATGGTTCAAACTTTTCTTTTTGGATTTATTTAGCTTTAGTTAGATTATCTCAGATTGGCTAAGCTTTTATCTAAAAATATTTTCTAGAAGCCAATTAGTCCGCTTCCATCTTATGATGGAATCTAAGCTGTTTGATAAATAAAAATGACTGTCGAAGGTTTAAACCAGAAACATAGCTCCTGGTTCAAACTTTTCTTCTTGGATTATTCGCTATAGTTAGTTTCTCTCAGCGTGCCTGAGCTTGTACTTACTGTAGATGTCACAGTGCTCGCCCTCGTAGTGGGTGCCAAAGCAATCGCAGGAGATGCCCGCGTAGTGGTTGATGCATCGGGAGCCGACAAAGCACAGATTGTGCCGGGAATCGCACATATCCGAGCAGCCCTCGTTGACGTTCTCGTGCTTGGTGGCCACCAGTGGGGCAATTGGCAGCAGATCGGAGGCCGCCTTGCCAGAGCTCAGCACCACATTCCGAATGCAGCCGACAAACGATTCGGTGATATATTTGACGCCATGCAGCTTCTCCTCGGACGAGAGGCCTGTGTATTTGGAAATTGGCATTAGAATCGGTTTTGAGTGCGGGCGGTTTGAGGCTGGCATTGGATTCGGGTTTGGGTTTTGGTGGTGGGCTTAATAGTTGGTCAACATTTGGAAGCACACACAAAGATACACACATACATCCGAAAAAAGATTAATTAACAAAAGCGTTATATTTGCAAGCGGATTTAAGTTCGTCTGGCCAAAATGTATATGTTGTGAGAACATTTTGTTTACAGCTCGAAAGTTTTGATGATAGGTTCGCACAGGCGGCGCTTTAAATATTGTTTAATTAAAAAAGTTGTCTACGGCCAAATGAGGCCATGTTTTCACAGTATTTATGTTTGGGCTGTAGCACAATGGACAATATCTGGAGTTTAAGTGGCAGAAACCCGTTTTTTAAATAGTCTAGACATGAAACTGCAAGCTAACATATAGATTATGTTACTTATCAGTACTGTTAACATAATTCAATCATGTACATTTAACAGCTGTTAAATACAATTGATTTGAAAAAAAATCTCTTCAATGAGTTGCATTTTATTTAGAATGATTTGAATTAAATCAAATAAAAAATAAGTGAAGGATTCCTGAATATTCTGTCACTGTTGGCCAGTACCCAAAAATCTGCCCAGTCTTGTAGTTATCATATTTATTCTCTCAAAACTCTGTTGAATGCCCATTGTACATTGGCTTGAACTCGTTAGCAAACTGTTTAGATTTCATTTCATGGAAATTGTATCGAAATTTTAAGCCCTAAATCTGCTTAAGCAAATTTGTTTATGTATTTAAATTAAACTAAACTCAAATGGGCTTTTTTCTATTTATCTAATCGATATTATATAATTGATATATCTTTTGTGAAGCCAGCTACACAATTTATGAAACATTTCTTTTCTAAACATTTTCAATTGTTAAAGCGCAGACTACGTTGCGCCTCCCCCCTAATCCTCTTTACCCCCCTCTAAAGCCATAGACTGCAATCAATGGCGCATTGTATGTGCACTTCATGAGTTCGTCATGCGTTTTTCGTGCGGGTGTTCAGCTTTTGGGAACGTCAAATAATTAAATTTTCGCATAGCATACAAAAGCAGCTTTGAAAGTCACACACACACTCGCACACACAGCACCTGCAAAATACACACTAAATTCAATAGCAAATGAGCACGAGCAGCTGTATATGTGCTAGTGTGCGTGTGTGTGTGTGCCAAATTCAATTTGCAATTTTCATTTTTCTGTTTTCGATTTGCCGTATCACAACTTGTTGTTTGGCACTCTTGCAGAGGTTATTTAAACTAAATTAAAAAACTCTATATATTCTGGATCTAAATTAAAAGAGCTGTCCCTATAGCCAGCAGATCTTTAGTCTGTCTGAATTTAAAGCCATCTTTATCGAGCCTAGCGGAGATCTGGCTTCTTGTTTCTGGCAGCTTATAAATCGGAATAGGATCAGACCTGTATATCATAATACTAGCTTTCATATTTGCCGAAAATTCTTGTCTAAAAAACTCGTGACACTCGCTCCTTTTACTCCTTTTACTATGCTCCTCACATATGAGCTAAATCTGATTAAAATCGGGCTACTATATCGTATAGCTCTATATGAAGAATCGGTCGACAAATATGTTCTCAAGATATCTTGACTAATAATAATAACTAGAAAGTTTTCTACTCATATGTGCCCAAGCGCGTACTTATTATATAGCTAAAACAATCGGTTGGAAATTAAGAATTCACTTAAATACATTTCTCGACCTCTTGTCTGCAAGGGTATTCAATCGTCGGCACTTAGAAAACTTGTTTGTTCTTGTTTTTTATTTTTTAAGTTTTATATAGCGATTGTTTGTTGCACTTGCCGCAAATTCGTTGCATATATTCAGGCGCCGGCTTTAAAAGCTGGCAAGCGTATAGCGAGCGGGATTTGCAGCCAAACACACGCGCACACACACACACACACACGCGAACCTGCACATACACACCTTTACGCACACAATTGATTTGGCACTCACCTCCGACCAGGACCACCGATGGCAGATTCGTGGAGACGCCGTAGTTGTACTCGTGATTCAGACCTTTCAGATAGACCTCCTCCTGACTATTGTCGACGCGTGCAATTAATCTTGCCCCATGGACATCGATGCGCACCTGTGCAACAGCCGCGACAGCATATAAAAGAGAGTGCGAGAGAGAAAGAGATAGGAATATATATATATGGAGTGGGAGTTGGATGTGAAAGATATGGAGCATAAAACCAATAAACCAGCTAGCTAGCTAGCTGGCTGGCTGCTCCTGCTTGTGGGCGTGGCAGACGCCCCTACGCGCGCGCACACACACACACAAACACAGACAAATGATAAAAATTTATGAATTTATGCGTTTTGGCCCAGAGTTGAAGTTGCAAGCGCTGGGCGATAAATTGTTGTTGCTGCCCGTATTGTTATACCCTGAACCCGTTGAAGGTGGGCTAAAGGGGTATAAGGCGGTGTGTATATATGTTCTTGATCAATAATAAAAGCTAAGTCGATCTAGCCATGACGATCTTGAGCTCTTTAGGAGCTGGAGTCTTGAACCTGGCTTCTCCCATTGCCCGGGCTTAACAAATTTGATTTGCAGTCTGATAACTTGTTTCGTTTTAATGAAACCAATAAAATCCATATCGAAATCCTGTTCTTTGAGCATATCTGGGAGAATAAGAGTCCAATTTTGGTCTCGGTAAGATCTCAGATAGATCTTAACAGATCCTAACATTATAATCCAACTTCTGTTTCTCCCATATTCATACAAATAACAACATGTTAGGATCTATTGTCTTGGGCTTTGCTGCATACACACTTGTAAGCCATTTTTATGACCCGATCGGACTATAAGCACCGAAGCTTAACACGAAGGCATTTCCCTAAGGGAACGGTTTTTTTTTTGAGTACTTATGTGTAGATAGAAGCTGGAATGATTCTAACGACAGCTTCTACAGGGCATCTGCTAGTCGAGCACTGACTACCTGCGCACTCCTGTTGTTCTTGTTGTTGTTTGTGGCGCATGAAAAATCTACGAAAATGAATTGCAACTGCTGTGCGCACATTGCAGGGATCAGCTGAAATTCATTAGGAATTTGCGTGTTATTTATGAGCGAGTGTGTGTGTGTGTCTGTGTCCCAGCATCTGCATGGGTGTGATTAGTAGTAGATATGTTTGTTTTAAATATGAAAACACGCAACGATCTAAATGGCTGCTGCTGCTGATGATGATGCCGGTTATTGATGATGATGCTGTTGCACGACCATGCTCGGTCCTTAACATTCACTGGCCACGTCCGTATATAGGTGAGTTAACAAAGTTGAGCGTTCATAAATCAACTAGCTTGCTTTGTTATAAAACTTTGATAAAGCGTTTTACACCAACAGAACAGGCAACAACAACAACACATGCATTGCAATCTTACTAATTGCTAAATGAATGTATGTGCATGTTTATATGACGAATATATCCAGGCGACTAGCTCAAATACCCTAATAGAGGTTAGGGGCGTAAATAAACAAATTAAATGTACTTAGAGACATTTTTAATGTGGAGCCAAAGCTCTGCGCTGCCAGAGCCCTTCGTTCGAGCGAGTATAAACTCGAGTTTCTTTCGGCTCGAGCTGTTAGCGTGTGGTGACTCGATCGAAAACTCGGCTCAATCGAACAAATAAGCTCGAGCTAGTTTGATTGTGTTCGAGCTAATTGTACATACATACATGTATTGTCTAAAATTAAAGCAGCACAAACCGTTAAGTCGAACATATTGCAGACTTGAGCTGATCAAACATGTTGCAGACTAGAGTTGCTCGATCATGTTGCACTCTCGTGTTGCAGATCAGAATAGGTCAAACATGTTGCAGACTAGATCAGGTCCAACTTCGTTTGTATGAATATCTTCGGGTTAGATGAATCGTTTTTTCAAACAATGATTTACTTCGAAAGTTTGAGTCTTTCATTTTCCGCTCAAAGCGATTTTGTATGCGATAATCTCGAAAATGCAAATGAATTGAAAGACACAGGGCTCTACTTCAAAACCCCTCCAATATAAAAAGCTGGTAAGGATATTCTATGGCTGTATATTAGGTAAGCGCTGGGCAAAAAACTCTACAGACTTGTCGATGGATCGAACTCTGTATAAGTCACACTAGCAAACACTGCCTGACAAACTGGCAGACAAAACTAATATGCCCGCACTTAGAGCATAAACTACAACTGCAGCAATTACAATAACAACGCCGAACATTTGAAACATCAACTGGGTGTAGAGAACAACTGGAAAGCCAGGCAATTCTCAACAGTTGCAGCCAAAGTCAAAGGCAAAGTCAAAGGCAAAGGCAAGGCAAAGGCTGAAACTTAAACGGAGAACTGCAGCTGGAGCTGATAACTAGGTGGCATTCAGTTCAGAGAAGCTTGTGTGCTGCGTACTACTCACCATAACACTGTGCCATTCATCTCGATTTAGACTCTCGCCCACAGTGACACTCGTTGAATGCTTGCCAAAGACATGTACAACCTTTAGCTGACCCTTCTCGACAATCACATAGAGTGCATAGGGGTCCAAATTAATGCGATCCGGATTCTTAACGTTGTGATAGACGAGCAGGCCGTGCGGCAGTCGTGTGCGAAATTGAAATGAAATCTCACGGCAAAGTCTGTGAATTAGAAAGAGATAGAGACAGTGACAGTTAGAGTGAGAGTGAGAGAGAAATATTTTACTTGCATATACAGGAGCGAGACGGAAGCCGTGCGCCTGACAGACTTTTAAATTTATATGCTCTGAGCTCTTGACTGTCTGCTGGCGACAACATGAGTTACAATTAAAACTACAGCCCAAATTGCCAGCACGGACCAAGGCAGCAACAGCTGCAGCAACAACAACAACAACTACAACTACAGTGATAACAACTTTTGTGCAACAACAAAAATTGTTTTGAATTTTATTTGACTCGGACACAAGTCGAAATGTCTTCAGTGCGTGTGTGTGTGTGTGTGTGTGGCCTTTATTTAAATATTATTTTTATTTTGATCTTAATTTAATATGCAAATGGTAGATGTTTGCACAAATTGAATTTGAAATTTGCGCCCAGCAGCAGCAGCTCACAAAACTTGTCTCTACAATTTGCTGTCAACTCGGGCAAAGGTCCTGCAATTGAGCAGAAAATCAAATCTCTGGAATTTCCGGACGCCAGCACTAAAAACGCTTAATTGCCAAAACATTTAAGTCAAAAATATGTTAAAGCTGCGTCCTGTTTACTAATTGCACCTGCAACACATCAGATACAAGTATTTAACCCACTTACGACAGGAATTCGAATGGGGCAAAGTTTAGAGCTGGGCGTGCTTCGTGTTTTTAAGGCAAACAAGCACGAAGTCTTACACATCTTACACGTGTCGTGCGTGTTCGTGCTGTTAAGAAAACAGACTACGTGCGTGTTATTGTTGAGCTCAGTAAATGGAAGCACGACAAAAACAACACAACACGACTGAACAAAATTTAACACGACTCGGAAAGAAAGAACGGGGGCCCTTAAGAATAAATAAGCTTGCTTCGTATTTTGACACAATGGGAAGGGTATTTGTCTTCTTATTCGAAGTAAGCCACAATATTTAGATTTTTGATAAATATTTATATAATAGTTTTTAGAGAATTCCATTCCCATGGGCGGAAAATAAGTGAAAATCGTGTAAGTTTAACATTTTAGTTATTTTATACTTTCACCTTTTCACATATATTTGTGAAAATTCTTTACTGAATAAACATTTTTCCCAGAAAAGGGAGGCTATGTTTGTGTGACCAAAAGTTTTGTCTCTTTATCATCCATTCCACCATTTTTGACAAATTCACTTAATCGATCGGAAGCTGGGTGGAAAACTCTGCTGATCGCAATTTTCTTTTCTATGTGTTCGACTCTAAGGTTAAAATGTTTTTAAATTTCATTAATTAGAAAACTAATTTAAGACAATTTGCTAAAATTTGGCAAACATTTTTGTTTGAGTGTAGATTTCAATGAAAAAGAGGCCTGCAAATTGTTGGCCAAGTTTTCAACTTTGAGCAAGCGTAAAAGGGAAGCAGGCAAAAGCAAAAGCAAAAGCAGACCCTTAGCTGTGGGCAAAATTGTTGGCTTTCTGGTGTTAAGGAACATCAAACACATTTCGAGCTGAAAGGCCAACAATCTGGCAAATGACGCGCGATTCGCGGTACTCTCGCGGGCCATGAAATATGCAAAAGACTTCAAAAATGCCGCAACAACGAAATTGAGGCAAGTGTGCCGCACAAGCCGTCAATATTCTGGACGGCAGGGCCCAGATTCGAGCTGGACTCGAGCTGGACACCTGAGCGCGCTGCCCCGCCCACTCACCTTAATTGAAATGTCTGTATGATGTCGCCGTCCATTTGGATGAACGTGTTGTTTTTGGCAAACACGAAGGTCTTGTCCTGGCCCGTTTCCGCAAACGTCAACTCCGGACCGCGCTGCTCGATGGGCACGGGCGTTGTGCCGCCCCCATAGCCGCCGTAACCGACCGGCGTCTGGGCGGGACTCTGCGTGTAGCTGGCCAGCGATGATTCTGTGGTGCTCGGCTCTCGCGTGGTTGACAGCAGGAACGGCGGCAAGGTGTCTGCGGCAGGACAAAACATTTGAGTGACAACAAGTTGGGTCAGGGGGGGTGAGGAGGGGGAGGAAGGGGTCGCTTACGTGGTCCGCCAACGCAGTGGAACAGGCACTCGGCCTCGGTGCTGAAGCGGTTCTGGGGATTTCCATCGCAGCCGCCCCAAATGAATGTGGTGCATTCGCTGGTCGTCGGCTCGTAGCGCCATTTATAGATGTATTGCTTACACGGACCGGGATCACCCGGACCGGTGCACTTCTCGTACAGCTTCTCCTTGGGCGCCTGCATCAGCGCGGAATTGTTGCCGCTGCCGCCGCCGCCGCCGCTGCTGCTGCCGGCGCTGCCGCCCGCATTGGCGCCCAATGAGCCGCCGCCGCCGCTGTTGCCGCTCGACTCGCTGTTGGACTGAGCGCCGGCACCAGCTCCGCCTGCCTGGCTGGCACCACCTGGCAGGCTGCTGCCGCTGCCATTGCCCAGCGCATTGCCTAGGCCAGCGCCGAGTGCCGGCAAATTGACAATGCCAGCGACATTGCCATCACCCAAGCCACCAACCAAGGTGCCATTCACAGACAGGCTCAGAGCCGACACGGGGCAGAGTTTGGTCAGCAGCAGGAGGAGGAGTGGCAGCAGTTGCGGCAGCAAGAGCAGCACATGTGACATTTCCAGTTTCATGTCGCTGTTGACTGCAAACAAAATATTGAAAAGTTTTAGACTGTGTTATGGGTAAAGGTTTTCTTTGAAAGTGTGAAACTTAAGCTAAGAAATAGATTTGCCTGAGCAGAGGGTAAATTAGTTTTGGTAAAGTCTTGCCATTGTACGGACAAAGACATATTTAATCCCACAAAATAAATATATATTTATGTACAATAGAGTTTTGAAGAAGACATATTAAAGCCCATACAATAAATATATATTTATGTCTAAAAATGTTGGTAAAGGATCTACAATGAAAGTTGAAATTCTTACCAGAGCTTCCTCTTGAATGGAAAACATGCACTAAAATGTGATTGTGCAAGGTTCGAGCTCCAAGTGAACCTACCTGTTTTAAATATTTGAGCGTCAAACTGATAGGCGGATGATCGCTGGTTCTAATCCAGAAATCCATATAGTCATGTCCATCTGTTCATTCGTTTTGTTTCTACATAAACTGTTATTTAAGTTTTAAGGCTATTTTTATGAAACTTTTTAAGTTTCGTCTATCCATTGTAGGAAGTTCAAGGGCAAAGATAGTTAAATATCGGATTAGTATATCAAATAGTTCTATTGGAAAAATCATTTATTTAAAGAACTTACAACTGATTATGCCTATAATCGTTGTTCTTTGAAGAGCTAAATCTTATGAATATGGGACTACGATATCACAAAGTTCTATAGGAAAGATCGGTTGAAAATTAAGTTCATGTTTGAAGAACTAAATTCATTGAATATCGGACTACTATATCACATAGTTTTATAGGAAAAAAATCGGTTAAAAAAGATGTTCCCATTTGAAGAATTTCTAAATGATGTAGGCATAATTTTTCTTCATTAAAGAGTTTAATCTTATGAATACGGGACTACTATTTCACTTGGTTCTAAAGGAAATTGGGTTGAAGAATAAGTTCTTATTTAAAGAACTTCTAACTGACATTGGCATAATTGTTTGTAAAGTAATTTCTTGTTTGAAGAATATAACCTTATAAATATGGGACTACTATATCATCTAGTTCTAAAGGAAATTGGGTTGAGGAATAAGTTCTTACTTAAAGAACTTTTTTCACCGAGGCATTTATTAGTTTAACTACGATACGCATATATGAGCTATATCTTATATATAAAGGACTACTCTATCGCAGGAGTAGTTGATCGAGAAATAAGTCTGTTCTCAAGAATTCTTGACTAAATTTGCGAGCTGCGCATTTCTCCTTATATATCTGCAGCCCGTATCAAGATGGGCAGCCTCTCTGTCAGACATAAAGCCTTTATATCAATTAACTTCTATGCCATATGCCTACGCATTTAATTATAAAAAAGAAGCCATCCCGTCTTTCTTCAAGTTTTTGTCACGATCAATTGACAGCCAGCCATAATTAATACACCTGCTTTCTTTTACTGCACCGTGTGCGTTCCATTAGTTTCATTTTTACTGCGCAGCCCCATTAAGTATGCTACACAAAAAATGCCGCTGTCTGTTCCGCCCCCGCCCCCGCTCCCGCTCCCTCGTTTCTTGCGCTCATTAGATTTGTGGTAATTGTACTATAAATTCACTGGGGCAATTTACGGGCTCGTCACAGCAGCCGCACAAAGAAGCTATCACAGCTTATGATTTCAGCTACTTGTTACCACCAATGTCTTGGCCTGGGCGTGTGTGTGCCTGTGTGTGTGTGTGTGTGTGTGTGTGTTCTGAGCAGTTTACTATTGTCATGGCGCACTATAAATCCCATTTACATCATCATGCTCATCATCATCAGTCAATGTCTGGCTGGGAAAATGAAGCGACGTTGCATTTCTTGCTGGCATTTAACGAAAACGAACTTTTGTGCTTACACTTCCGCCGGAAATGTGACAAGACACACACACACACAGTCAGAGACAGACACACACACACACACATCAGCTGCTGTGAAGATGCGTGAGCTTAAGCCGTAGCTTGAGCTGATTTACAAGTAGCTTATCGTCGTGGAAAAAACTGTCAAAAATCTAAAAATAATGATGCGCCTCGACTTTGAACTAAATGCTGCCAAAGTGGGGCGTGTGGGTGTGGGCGTGGCTGCTAAACGTCAAAGGGAAATGGCGTAAAAAAGGGAAATTAAGTTTCTTACTGCCACCCAAAAACTTTGTGAGTTTTGCATAACGATCAAAATGGACGTGGGTGTTAGCTTTCGCTTGCCAATGTTCCTTAACCCCCCCAAGCGCTTTGTTCCTGACTAGAGATGGGCATGGCGCGTGCTTTGCTGCGTGACACGACGTGGCCGTCGCAAGTCAGACTCTAGTGGAAACAAATATTAGCTTCAAACTTTAACTCAAACCTAGTAGATAGTTCGCAGGATTCATCCAAAACTTTAAGCACGACTTTAACGAGTTTTCACAAACCTGTCAAAAAATATGCTGTAAGAAAGTTGCCGTAAGACAGATATTGAGAAAATTATTATGCAATAAAGGCAGATGCCGACAATTCTCAAACTTGTTGAGCTAAGCTTTGTTATATGTTGCCCGTGCGTAAGTTTGTCTCGTGCCCGTAAAGGCCAGCTCGCTGTCAGCTCTACGGCAAACCCTTTTCCTCGATTTAGCAGCCATTTCCGTTTCATAAGCAATTTTTAATTGCGGCTTTAGCTGACCGGCCAAAAAAAAACACAGCCACGTCGAGCAGCATGAAAAATGAGCAGGGCCAAAGTTCATGCAAATTAATAAACCTCAGAGTGGAAGAACGAAAGAGAGAGAGTGAGAGAGACAGGGCGATGCTCGTCAAGTGTGCGTGGTCATGTCAAGGATGCGTCGTTGGCCAAGTTATTGATGCCAGCCAGTGGCAGGTTTGCCCCACAGATTTCCAATGCATGCTTGCGAAAAGTTGGCCGATGATTTGGGTCGACCAAGCGGAAAAAGTTTACCTAACTTTTGGTTTGCAGCCCTTGCTCAAAGGGCAGGCCTGTGTCATGCATATGCGGCATTTGCCTAAAGTGCACAAATGCCACAAAACGTAGCCGTTGCGCTAAAGATAACAGCCGCTACCTGTGCGAGGGCTCCCTTCTGACCACGCGATAAGCCAAATGCAGCGGCAAGTGCAGCAGGTAAAGGCACCCCAAAGAATTGGACATGAAAAATCACGGGCGCGCTTTTGGGGCGGTCAGGTAAAGGGTTCGTCCCACAGGCACCTGCACGGGGCATAACATTAGCAGCAGGTCAAATCTGCAAACATATATAAGAGGCACGACGCCGGGGAATCCTCATACATTCACCACACGATCGTCATGGAAGCAACAACTGCAAAGACCGCCTACGCTCTGTTCCTGCACCGCGCCGAGCTGCATCGTCGCCGCGCTCACTATGCCAAGGTGTCGCAGACGAAAATACAGTTAACTAGTCAGCTGATTGCCAAGGTGAAGCAGCGCATGGACACCTGCAGCTATGAGGATCTGCAGACGATGGTGCGAGAGCAGCAGTTCAAGCGCTTGCTCGAGAAGAAGCTCCAGCATCGCGCCAAGCAGCTCAAGGCGCTGGTCAAGCAGAACCGCAAGCTGAAGCGACTCCAGTAGAAAAGTGGCCTAAGATCAGACTGGACAGCAATGAATCATAGAATCGTTGCAATTATTACTTAGTTCAACTAATGACACATTTACTGCCTTTATAAAGGCAAAGAAATTCAATTTCTTATGACAAAATCTGCAAAGTTAGCTCATAACGGGCATATTAGCCATGCAGAGAATATCATTAATCTCAATTATTTATAACTATTTTAAGTATTATTTTCTATTTCTAATAAATTTCGACAATTTTTAAAATTTAAACAAGTATGGTTTCTTATGGAAAGATATAGCTTAGGGATCGAACACAAAACATTATGAAGCTTCAGTTTAGTTAACAAAAGACAACAAGGTGTTTCCAACAAGTTGTTAATGGGAGAACGATAAGCTATATAATACAGTGTTCCGCACCAATATTTCCAGCTAGAGGAGAAGTGTAAAAGTAGTATTGGCCTGAGCCTTTGCCAACGACGCAATTTAACAACGATGCTGGTTCGAATGAGCAGGTTGTCTGTATACCTATTTCACTTACTCTAGATTTGCAATTCCTTTTCGAACGCGAAAATCGGATAAGATTTGACCTAGGTCTGGGAATGTATTTATACGAATCTTGGATTAAGTATATTGACATGAATTTCGACTAAAAAATGTGTGTTCAGATTTGAATGCCAGATTAATCTAGAGGGAAAACCATGAAGAAAAAGCCAAACTTCGTAAAAATCAGATGAGATTTGACCGAGTTATGGGAATGGGAATTTTTGGCCCATGTCTATATACGAGTCTTGGGGTAAGATTTGGACATGAATTTCGACTAAGAAATGTGTGTTCAGATTTGAATGCCGGATTAATCTAGAGGGAAAACCATGCAGAAAAAGCCGAGCCTCATGAAAATCAGATGAGATTTGACCGAGTTATGGGAATGGGAATTTTTGGCCCATGTCTATATACGAGTCTTGGGGTAAGATTTGGACATGAATTTCGACTAAGAAATGTGTGTTCAGATTTGAATGCCGGATTAATCTAGAGGGAAAACCATGAAGAAAAAGCCAAGCCTCATGAAAATCAGATGAGATTTGACCGAGTTATGGGAATGGGAATTTTTGGCCCATGTCTATATACGAGTCTTGGGGTAAGATTTGGACATGAATTTCGACTAAGAAATGTGTGTTCAGATTTGAATGCCGGATTAATCTAGAGGGAAATCCATGCAGAAAAAGCCGAGCCTCATGAAAATCAGATGAGATTTGACCGAGTTATGGGAATGGGAATTTTTGGCCGATGTCTATATACGAGTCTTGGGGTAAGATTTGGACATGAATTTCGACTAAAAATTGTGTGTTCAGATTTGGATGCCAGATTAATCTAGAGGGAAAACCATGAAGAAAAAGCCAAACTTCGTAAAAATCAGATGAGATTTGACCGAGTTATGGGAATGGGAATTTTTGGCCCATGTCTATATACGAGTCTTGGGGTAAGATTTGGACATGAATTTCGACTAAAAAATGTGTGTTCAGATTTGAATGCCAGATTAATCTAGAGGGAAAACCATGAAGAAAAATCCAAGCTTCGTAAAAATCAGATGAGATTTGACCGAGTTATGGGAATGGGAAATTTTGGCCCATGTCTATATACGAGTCTTGGGGTAAGATTTGGACATGAATTTCGACTAAAAAATGTGTGTTCAGATTTGAATGCCGGATTAATCTAGAGGGAAAACCATGAAGAAAAAGCCAAGCTTCGTGAAAATCAGATGAGATTTGACCGAGTTATGGGAATGGGAATTTTTGGCCCATGTCTATATACGAGTCTTGGGGTAAGATTTGGACATGAATTTCGACTAAAAAATGTGTGTTCAGATTTGAATGCCGGATTAATCTAGAGGGAAAACCATGAAGAAAAAGCCAAGCCTCATGAAAATCAGATGAGATTTGACCGAGTTATGGGAATGGGAATTTTTGGCCCATGTCTATATACGAGTCTTGGGGTAAGATTTGGACATGAATTTCGACTAAAAAATGTGTGTTCAGATTTGAATGCCAGATTAATCTAGAGGGAAAACCATGAAGAAAAAGCCAAACCTCGTGAAAATCAGATGAGATTTGACCGAGTTATGGGAATGGGAAATTTTGGCCCATGTCTATATACTAATTGTAAGTGTAGACATTGACATGAAATATGACCAAAGGGGAATATCATCAAGAGCGGACAATGAACGCCGCGATACATTCAAGATTCTTATACGTGGCTAAGGGAAGAGAAAACACGTCTGCTGTCTGGTTTTATCTGTTAAAGCCCGATGAAGAATTTATCTGCTTTATTAATCTTAATTATATTATTTTCTTTTCAGTAATAGATTTATTTTAAGTAGAGATATGAAGATTTTACTTAGGTATCCCCCTCGCAATTTATCACTTAGGCTGTTGTGTTTTCGCCATTCCCGAATATATAAATACTTGCTGGTATGCGGGCCTTGCCCAAAACTTGCAAGCAAACCCGAAGATTCCCTTCTATAAGAAACCATACTTTTTTAAATTTTATAAATCGTAGAAATTTATTAGAAATAGAAAATAATACTTAAACAAGTTATAAATAATTGAGATTAATGATATTCTCTGCATGGCTAATATGCCCGTTATGAGCTAACTTTGCAGATTTTGTCATAAGAAATTGAATTTCTTTGCCTTTATAAAGGCAGCAAATGTGTCATTAGTTGAACTAAGTAATTGATTCATTGCTGTCCAGTCTGATCTTAGTCCACTTTTCTACTGGAGTCGCTTCAGCTTGCGGTTCTGCTTGACCAGCGCCTTGAGCTGCTTGGCGCGATGCTGGAGCTTCTTCTCGAGCAAGCGCTTGAACTGCTGCTCTCGCACCATCGTCTGCAGATCCTCATAGCTGCAGGTGTCCATGCGCTGCTTCACCTTGGCAATCAGCTGACTAGTTAACTGTATTTTCGTCTGCGACACCTTGGCATAGTGAGCGCGGCGACGATGCAGCTCGGCGCGGTGCAGGAACAGAGCGTAGGCGGTCTTTGCAGTTGTTGCTTCCATGACGATCGTGTGGTGAATGTGTGAGGATTCCCTGGCGACGTGCCCCTTATATATGCTTGCAGATTTGACCTGCTGCTAATGCTATGCCCCGTGCAGGTGCCTGTGGGACGAACCCTTTACCTGACCGCCCCAAAAGCACGCCCGTGATTTTTCATGTCCAATTCTTTGGGGTGCCTTTACCTGCTGCACCTGCTGTTGCATTTGGCTTATCGCCTGGTCACCCACCAAATTGTTGACCCTATTTCCACCAAGGTAGCACAAAGGTAACAACAGTGAAAATAGATCACCAATCATTCAATCAGTCATTCAGTCAGGACAAACAGGTTAATATATAGAGAGAAATATATATTCTAATATAAGCGAAGTTTGTGGTCGCGAAAGTTTTCCCTTTCTTTTTTGCATTTTTACTGAATACGAAAAACGTTTTAAATTATGCGCGTGTGTGTCTCACAACTCACACACAACAACAACAACAAGAACAACAACAACAACTACAGTAATAACAGCTATAACAACAGAAACAGCACGCCGGCCCCGCCCACCGCTAAATTCCACGTTTTAAGGCAGGCGCTGACGCCTTTGCTTGGGAAAAAACGCGCGGAAAAGTCGTGCAATGCGGTGTGAGAGGGGTGGAGTGAGGGGGGGGGGGTGGTGTATTGCAAAGTGTTGCAGGAGAAAAGGCAAAGGAAAGCGAAGCGCAAAGGCGAAGGCGAACAAATGAAAGCAAGTGAAGTCAAATTAAATTAAATGACAGATGTCTGACATTTTGCTAGTGGTGTGTGTATGTGTGAGTGTGTGTGTATTTGTGTGTGAATGTAATATAAACACATGCAAATAAGATACACACACACACACACACACAGGCGGAAGAAACGCTTTGGTGTCGGGCAAAATGCACATGCACTTGCCCTCCAACTGTTCACGATGGGCGCAAGGGGCGTGGCCCGACATTATGTTGCTGCCGTTGTTGTTGTTGTTGTTGTTGTTGTTGTTGTTGTGCATGTCTCCAAAGTGTTGCCCGCGTAAGCGTAATGAATTAAAATAACTTGATTGCTTGAAATTGAACGAATTGTTGTGGAGGAGCTGCGGCGCGGGACGAAGAGTCTCGCTTGGCTCTGACATCTCCAAAGGAAATTGCAGCTACGCGTTGTTGTCTCTGTGTGTGTGTGAGTGTGTACGTGCGTGTGTGTGCATAAATATTTACTGAAATTTGTATATTAAGTGACGTTGAAAGCGGCGCCAGTTGTTGTTAGCAAATGGCATCAGCAGCGTGAAGTCATGCAACACACACACACACACACTTAGACAACTCATGTGTGTGTGTGTGTTTGTGTGTGCTATAATAGAAGTCACGCTGCATGAATGAACGCATAAAAAGCGAGGCTAACTGTGTGGGCGTCTTGGGGGGGAGTTGGGCGTGTGTGGGGTTTGCCGGCAAGACAGACGAGCAGATCGCTGCAGGCATTTCGTTTCCATACAACGTTAGGCATTAATATAGAGCAACAGTGTGTATTGCCAAAGATGGATTTTTAGTGGAGTGTAATATATTTAAGGCCAATATATTTTATTGCCGACTCTTAAGTTCGATAACTGTCAAGGCGTTGACACTGAAACATTATTAACTACTTTTGCAGCACATTTGGAACTAGTTCAGAGACTTTTAAGTACGATAAGTGTCAAGGAACTGACACTGAACTAGTTCACAGCTTTAGTAAAGTGGCAAGTTTGACAATTTGGAGCCTAAATTCAGGAGCTTATGTTGCATACATAAAGTTACAATTGCTCACTTAAAGTACTTTCAGCTGGGATCAACGAAACTTAAAGAAATTGCTTACCAACACTGAGATTATTAAAAGGCCACAAGTAAAATTATCTCATTGCATGTAAATTTAATCACATAGTCGATTTCTTAATAAGATATACCTTGGAGGCATGAAATACCAAAATTTAACTTATCGTTCTGGAACCAGTTCGCAGACCTAGCTAATGATATTCAGCAAGCTTAATATATTTATTTTTTATAAAATGTTAAAGAACTTATCTAGTTGCAAAGTTTTGTTAGCAAGGAACTTATCAGTGCAAACGTACTTGTTAATTTGAACTAGTTCACAGCTTTGATACATGGCCCTTTATATTTTTCACTAAATGTAAAAGAACTTATCTAGCTCCAAAGTTGTCCCTAGTTCCATACACATTTTAATGTTAATCTTATCTATATACAAATTCTATATATTATCACCAATATCTATAATTGAACATATTCCATTATCTGTACATAAATATATATGAAATTGAATATTGAACCACTTTTTTGACAATAACTTGAACAAATGTGGAACTTAATTGAAAACTCTCACAAAAGACACTCCTCTTATGTGGATTCCCCTCTTGGCCGGACATTTTCTCTTAAGCCATTAACATATCCCATTCCCCCGCCATTAGGCGAACATGTCTCTGGAACAGACAAAAACTACACGACAGTCACTGTCCGCCCAAGAGAGTTTTTACTGTAGTTGACATATTTATTTTATTAGTGCACTCTAAGAATTTGTAACTCTTAATTCTAAGTCTCAGCTTGGCATTATATTGGGCACACTTTTCAGTATGACTAATAAAACTTAGTCAAGCTTCACTGTGCGCAAAATTTGCACAAATAAATTAAATGATTTTCAAGCACTTAAAAAATGATTTAATAGCATTAACGTTGCCGCCGCTCTCAAAGTCAAAAACTATTCCATTAAATTAAACAATTAGTGCTTGACTCTTGCCAAAAGTTTAATGCAAGTTACAGTCGCACACGCACACACACACACACAGGCACACACACACACGCACAACATTTGGCGCTTAGAATATTAAACGTTATTTACACGGCTCGCTGAGCTCGACTTTGTGCATTCTGTCTGCGGCTGGCGTCCCGCCCCAGCTCCGCATATGGAACATGTTTGCGCATTCATTTGTTATTGCATAAATAATTATTGTTTAATTTGCTTACTTGCACTACATACTCTGTAATGAAGTTGTTTGTTTGCCCATTTGCCGGCTGACAGCCGAGTGCAACGGCCCAGACGGCAACTCCCCCCCGCCCCCCCCCCTCGGTCCGGGTACGTTTTATGCAAATTCAGCTGAGCACTTTTTAATGTGGCCGGCATGCCTGGCATTTTAATGCAGCTAACTGACTTTATTATGGCTATTATAAATATGTATATATATGTGTGTATACTTATAATATAGGCATACATAATTGCAGAACATTTGCCTTGCCCGGGCTGGCAGCGCGTGTCATCTCATAAATTGCCCATTACTGAGCAGAAAGTACAGAGAAAATATTTGAGTTTGCCTCATAGACACAATTTTGGCACCCCTTACATTTACCACATTATTCCTTCAACCCGAGCGACGCCGGGTAATTTCTGCCAGTAATTTTATATATTTATAAGCATTAATAATTCCAGAGCATTTGCCTTAGCCTGGCTGGCAGCGTGTTGCATGTCAAAACTTGGCCATTGACTGTTGACTGTTGCTGCCGCTTTCAATTCATAAAGGTATTCATATAAACACACATATATGTATATGTGTATATGTATAAGTGTGTGTATGTGCTTCTGTATGCACAAGTGTGTGTTTAGGCACTCATAACATGTTTACACACACTCACACACACACACAGAGAGCCTTACAATGTTAAAAGCAATTTTGTAATTGCTCTTCACTTTTCTCTCTCTGTCTCTGTCTCTCTCTCTCGCTCTCTCTCTCTCTCGCGCTCTTGCCTATTTCCTAAATTGTATCTTTATATATTTGTTTTTGCTTCTTTATATAACTATTGTATTTGCTTATGCACTGTAAAATATGAGCTGCATTTGCACAATAACAAATATTCATTTCATTTGACTTTTGTTTACCTAAACTTTATGAAATTAAATTTGTTGCCTATTTGAAGCAACAATTGTCTTTAAGTACTTTATAAAGGATGATTTTTGGGGCTCTTGTATAATTGTTGGCTTTTTAATGTCCTTTCTTTGCGGAGGGTATAAGAATTTAGTCGTGGAATGAGACGTATGAGCGCATAGAGTATCTGTTCGACTGTCTGTTTCTAGTTTTAAAATCAATGTCCGACTTTCTATCATAGATAGTGCATATATCGAAACTTGCCTGAAGCACTCACATCATAAAGCTTGCACAGAATGGTTAGATAAAGAACTAATTTTCTCTTACTCTCTTTTCTTATTGAATATATCTAAACCAAATGTAACACTTACGAGTTCTGGCATGCTCTTCACAAAAGAGCCACAGTTCAAGATCGAACTAATATAACATATAGAAGAGTTGGTCGCACAACGAGTTGAACTTTATTTGATTTCTTCGAGATATCTTCATGAAGCACAACTAATACTTTATACACAATTTATTTCACATAAATTTCTTTTAGGGTATTCAATCTTCGTCTGACGCCAGTTATCCATTTCCTCTTGCCATATATATTTATGTTTCCATATATTTAATTTATGCACTCAGCATGGCCGGCAAAATATCTATTAATTGACCATATTTAAATTTACATTTGTTTTTTATTATTATTTAAAACATTTGCAATTTGGTTTCACATTAAAATGGTTTTTGGTTTTAAGTAATAGACACATACACATATATTATTTTTATTAGGTGAAAATTAGGCATTTAAAATAATATATTATTATTTTGCAGCTAATTTCTATTTAAAACACATCAAATACGAAATTCCGTTTTAATTTTCATTTACACTTGATTTTTTGCACGTTTATTTTAAGCCCTTTTTTAAATAGAATTCTCAATAACTGCCACGCACTTTTGCAAAAATAAATATGTTAATTTAATTGCAAATGTTGTTAATTCTTGCATATATTTATATTTATATTCATTTTTATTAACTGACTGCAAATGGCTTAATTACTTGCAATTTATACAAATTAAAGTGGAGCGCAAAAAAAAAAAAGAAAACCCAAACGAGTTCAATTTCAATAGATTGCAAATTGGGTTGCGCGCCGCGTTCGTTATCCTGTTTAACTGTTTAACTGATGATATGCCAGCTTATTGATTTAAGTCACTTCCTGTGCTTCACCGATAATACGAGTATGTGTGCGTGTGTGTGTGTGTGTGTGAGTGTGTGTGTTTAACACACTAACACTCTTAAATCATTATAGCGCCACAAAAAAAAAAGGAAACTTGTGCAAACACACGCGTAGTTGTCGAACACGCAGAACGATACACACTCAAACCAATTTGGAGTGCCCTAG